GAACAGTTGTCTCCAAGCAAGGAAGCCCGAGTAGGAAAAGATTTCAATCGAGAGCCAACTCATCAATCACTTAATTTAGTACTGTCTACATGCAGAGTACTGCAGGGTGGGTGAATGGCCTTCGGCTCAAGCCTTGGCTTCACCTCTTACAATATCATCTCACGTGAGCTCTTAGTTTCTTTAAGTAACAGGGTCTTTAGTTATAAAGTGAGGATAATAACATATAGCGAATAGAATGTTGTCAGGATTAAATCCAATAAATTGTGCTAATGTGCTATACAAATGATATCATTATTTTTAAAAAATAGGAGCAGACATTTCTTGTAGAATATTTTTAACCACAAGAGGATATTACTAAGAGAAGTTGAGTCGCCTGCCCACAGGGAAAGTGACGGAGCAGGAATTCACCCAAGGCAATCCGGCTAGAGCCTGGGATTCTGAACACCTGGTTACATTGCCTCACTCCCTGTATGGCAAAGAAACCTGTGATCCTGTGTTAGATGAGTTTTAGAAACAGGAAGGTTTAACTTGGAATGTTCTTAGAAGACCTACTGGGTGAGCAAAACAAGGATGATTGGAACTGGCTAATCAAAATGAGGAATAGAGATTTTAAAAAATAGCAGTATAATGAGACTAAAAATATTAAGAGTACTTAGTCCATTTACGTTAAAGAAAGACAAGAATTAAGGTGTAATATTGTAAAATTTTTAAATGCTGCTTACATTATTTGAAACAGAAAAAAACAGCTGGAAATAATGACTCATTTCCAACATATAGACTATAAGTCTTAAAATAATTTGTTATTTACTATTTGAGGGATGACTTGAAATAAATGATTATGAGATACACTAACCAGAGACCAAAAATAAATTTAAAAAATGTAAGCCAAAATAAACACAACATTAATCTTTTCAAAGAAAATATCTTATCTTTAGACAAAGTACTACTATTAGGAAATGACCTTATTTTTAAATTTTATTTCCTGATTTTAATGCTTATTTCAGATTTTAGGTTTAATAAAGTTATATGCAGTTTCAAAAATACTAGTTTTTATTGGCCTTGAAAGGAGTTAGGAAAAGGAAAACTTAATGTTAGGATATTTTTATAGTATTTTTAAAAACTGTTAAACCTGCCCTGGCTGGTGTAGCTCAGTGGATTGAGTGCTGGCCTGTGAACCACAAGGGTTGCTGGTTCAATTCCCAGTCAAGCACATGCCTGGGTTGCAGGCCAGGTCTCCAGTAGGGGGCACATGAGAGGCACACATTGATGTTTCTCTCCCTCTTTTTCTCTCTCCCTTCCTCTCTGCCTAAAAATAAACAAGTAAAATATTTTTTAAAACTGTTAAACCTTATCACAACATGGTCTTATAAAGTATAAAAACTGTATTGTATCATCTCTACTTATTTTGGGAATTTTAAAAACACCAAGTTGAAATTCAAAAACACAAATTTAAAATATATATGAGAAGAGGAAGCTGTGTTTAAGTTAAAATTATGTTTACAAAAGCTTTGAGGCACTTTTAGGGAGCGCACATCTAGAACAAATTCCTGCTCCCTTCATCTCCCTGCACCCTTCCTCTTTGTTCTTTTGGCTCCTGCCAAAGTGTCGACTGTGACCCCCTGTCTGTTGTGCTAGAAGTGTAAGAATATTGTTCAGATGGTGCCTGGGTAACTTCTGGGTAAGATGCTACCACATTATTACCAGAACATTTCTTCCATTAAAGCATTTCTTATGCAAATGCAAATAGTATCTGGCAAATAAAATATATTCTAATATTAAAACCATGGTTACCATTTATTATTAGCTTGGCTATCTATTTTCCTAGGAGGACTTATTTCCCTAGAGGATTCATTTGTGGGAATGGAAAGCCCCTGATATGACTTGCATATTACTTAGGATTCTTTATTAACAAATAACAGAAACCAAACCTGGCTAACTTAAGTCAAAAGGGAACATAATGATAAGGGTAGCTCACAGGTCCTAAGGGAGAGCTGAAAAACAATGTTGGAAAAACTCCAGGTCCTCCTGATCCTGCATAACCACGACTGCTGAGAGATGAACAACAGTTTCTTCTCTCTGCTTTATTTCATGCAAGAGTCAGTGTCCCAGGAGAGCAGCTGATTAGCCATATTTACGTCTCTTACCTCTCTCTTGACAATACTGGGGAAGGTCAGAGAGAGCATTAAGAAAGGATCCAAATAATTATTTGGTTTCTCTTGTAGAATCAAACCAAGTGCTTGGATTTCCATCATGCCTATACCGTATACTACAAGTGGGAGTTAATTTGAAAAGAACAAATCAGAGTACCATTGGAAAGGGGAATAGAGTCTTGGTAGCCAAAATAATCAAATATCACATACGGCTACAACAGAAAGTCTTTATGGAAGGTTCCCCGGCAAAGCCACCCTGGATGTCCAAACGCAGTGCCCCAGAAAAACAGGGCTGCTGCAAATGCATTGCCCGTCAACTCATAGGAGGACACAAGGTGCTGAAACAACTCAGTTCCAGCAACGGTGAAAATGACTGAACATAGAATATACAAACCAGAAACCGAAACCCAGTAAAAATGATATGCTCGTGAAAGGCAGCGGCACTAAAAAGAAGTGTTGTGGATAGACCCAAATGATGCTACGGGATATGTTATGCCTCCTAGGCATTACCACCCTTCTCTCCTGCCCAAACACATACCTCTGAAGAAGACTGAACACCTTTAGTGTTTCCAAGGTGACCCAATGGCCCAAGGAAAACTCCCCAGCTGGTTGTAACATAATCACTTTCAACTTCTCTACTGAGTCCCTGTTTTCTTTCAAATCAAGTTTATGCACAATTCACTTATTTTATACTGAACACCAAGGAAGCCTCACCTGTGAGTACCCATGCTAAGTAAGTTGCATGGCTTCTCCCCTGACTTCTCATTGCATGAAGAACAGAAGCCCTGACCTGTAAGGACCTACAAGATCTGGCTCGTACCCTGCTCAGTCTTATGTCATGTAACTCATTGCACCAGTAACAGCAGCCTTCGTTTTTTCCTCTTAAATATTCCAAGCTCATGTCCTGCCCATTGCCTTGGACTTCCTGCCTCCTTTGAAGGCTTTTCCATGACTCTTTAAATGGCTGGTCTAACTCCTCAGTTGTTGGTTTCAGTGTTACCTCCTCACAGTCCCTCCCTGAATCCTCTCTCTACTCACCCTCTATTGCATCATTCAATTTATTTCTTCTGTAACACTTACTACTATTAAAAGGTACCATGTCTCAGTTATTGTTTGACACTTGCCACCAGATGAGTCGTTTTCTGTCTTGTTCATTGCTGATTCCAGTGCCTAAAAATGTTCCTGAAACACTGTAGGCACTCAATAAATAAATAGTTCTTAAATGAATAAACTAATCTGTGCACAGTATAACTTCTTCACATCCATTTCTTTATCTGTAAAATGGAGACAACACTGCTGTGGGGATCAACTAAGAAAAACCAACTCTGATATAGCACAATTACAAATGTATAATTAGTTGTGCATTAAATATTAGAAATAGGTAAGTACCTAAGCAGTTCCCTACCAGGTTGTGAACTCCTTAAGATGAAGGACTCTACCTGTCCTGTCATCATCTGTTGTTCCACACTTAGCACAGTGTCTGCCACATACATATTTGTTGAATGAGTGGATGAACTGATGAATGACAAAGCACTGCTCGGCCTCCAGAAAGACTTCCATCTAGAAAGAAGAAATGCAGCTGTAGTGCTTCATAAGGGATTGCACCAATATTATTGTGTTCTATTTTTCATTTATTTTTTCCATAAGAATTCTTGACTGCTTACTATGGCCAGACACTGTTTATAATATGGAGAATGCAATGATAAGTACAAGTAAACCAACCAATCCACCAACAGATGCGGTTCCTGCCCTCATGAGTCCCACTGGATGCTGAGCGAGACATTAAACAAATAATCACAGAAAAAAATTATAGTTTCAACTGAAATAAATGCTGGGGAATGGGTTTGAATTACTTCAGAAATTATTATGTGTAACTATTTAAACCAGATGTTACAAAGTTTCTCAGACAGAACATATATTTTGGTTATTAAAGAAAATAACTTTTTGAAGAAAGAGTTGGATCCAGGGCTATACTAAATAAATTCATATTTTTGGCTCATCCACATAGGTTTACTAAATTAAATTAACTACAGAATGATTCACATGTTCAAATATTTGTTTTCAGGGGGAACTTCCTCTGTCTTATCCTGAAGTTGCCTTTAAAGTCACTTATACTTTAAATGTCTCTTCATGCTATTAAAACGAAAATTTCCTTTTCTTAATGTGTCTTGGCTTGAATTCCTCCTAATCTGATATTAAGATCGTAGCTCCTGCTTTCTGTTTGCATTTGCCTTTGTTCACGACTTTATATTCAACCATTAACATATTCGTTTTAGACGAGTCTTTTGCCTATAGCATAAAATATAAAGTGTGATTTCTTTTAAAAAACTTTTCTGGAATTAAATTAATTTAAATGTATTGATACGACATATATTTGGTCTTATTTCTGTGGGATTTTTTACTTTGACAGTTTGTGTTGAAAGCCAAGACGTACAACCCAAGGGTTATGCCTGTGAAAGACAAGGCGTGACAGAGCAGCAGTAGGCCCGAATGGCCTCCAGACCACAGTGCAGGTCTGAACAGCAAAGAGAGGAGGAAGCAAGGCCAGTTGGTTAGGAACAGCCTCAGAATAGAGCAGCTCTGTAAACCATGGCAGCCAGCCCTATAGGGGAGCTCAAGAACAAAGGCTGCCCTTCGGGTATCTCGCTGGGCAGACATGGCCAGGCTCCAATACCCAGGCTAAGCCACCGACTAGAGCTGCAGAAGAGAATATGTCAGCTCCAGCGCTTGCGGCGCATTCTGAAGGGCGGCTACAGCCCAGGCTATGAGCTAACTGCAGACCTCACACCGGGGTCAGTCACTGTTGAAGAAATGAGACTAAAAGAGCTGCAAGGCTGCCAAACGCATATTATTTTATTCAAGTATAATCTACACACAGTGAAAAGTACAGATCTTAAGTGTATACAATCTAACAAGTTTTGGCAAATTTATAAATCCATTCCCTCCATCCCAAACAAGCGAGAGGATATTTCCTTCACAGAGGAAGTTCCCTCAGGCCGTTGGACCCCCCTTTTCTTCTGCAGCTCCTTGACATTCTCACCAACCTCTCCACCCTCGCCCCCCACCCCACACCGAGGGAACCACTGTTCTGATTTCTATTACCGCAGTTTATTTTGCCAGCTTTGAACTTCATATAAATGGAATAACAGCACATGTTCTCTTTTATTTCTGGCTTCTCTCAAGCAATACACTATTTTTTATTCATATATATTGCCACAATGTATCTTAAAATTTTTATTCTATTGTATGAATGTACGCCATTTCTTTACCTTCCTTATAGAGATTTGGGTTGTTTCCAATCACTGGCTATTATATACGTTACTATGAACACTTTTGTACAACATTTTGCATGCTTTTTGTGGGTTTTCATTAATCTTTGATAAATACTTGGAAATGGGTTTGCTTATTCATATAGTAGCATACGTCTACATTTATGACAAACCGCCAGTTTTCCAAATCATTTGTACCATTTTTCACGCAAACATCTTGCTCTTTTGACTGTTAGTCAATATCTAAATATATATACCAATTTGGGATGAATGGACATCTTAACAATAATGAGTTCTGCAATGACCATCATTTGAGTTTTTCATTCTCTTGGAAATGTTTTGTTCTTAATGGTTTAGAGGACATGTAAGCCTATGCTAAATACATTTCTAAATATTTCATGTCTGTAGCCTATTGTAAATAGTATTACTTAAAAATTTTTGTTTTTCAGTTATTCATTGCTATTATATAGAAATAAAGTTGACTTTTGTACTTTGTCTTTATAGTCTGTGAATTGGCTAAAACCATATATTAGTTGTTTTGTTCTCTGTAGATTTTTTTGTATTCGCCTATTTGTCTTCCAAAGATAAAAACGTAATTTTTCTCCTTTCCAACCCTACTTTATGCATTTTTTCTGGCTTCACTGCACTTAGGACCTCGAGTGTAATAGAAGTGGTGAATGTAGGCATCACTGCCTTTTTTTTGATCTGAGGAAAAACTGTTTAATATTTCAACAGTAAGTTTTCTCTTCATTATGAATCACATTTTCTTGCTTCATTAATGTCTAATTTTAATTTCATTTTTGACACTAAGCATAAAGCACAAGTGTTGTTTTATTTATTTCTCAAATAGTACAAGCCCCATCCTTATTTGACTGTTGGAAGGAGAGGCTGTTTATTCCGTTTCTTTCTAGGGTTTGGCCCATGCCAGCCCACAGCTTTAATTAGGTCGAGTTCAGTTACGCTCTCTGCTTAGCGATGGAGAATTCATTTCACCCTAGGACAGCTCATGAAGCCTTCCTTGCATCCATGATTCTTTTAGAATTCCACAGAAAAGCATAATTTATATTTTGTCCAAGATTTCCTTGTTATTAGAAAACACCTAGTCAAGTTGGTATTTTCTGTACCTAGTCAAAGTACAAAAGTGACCTTTGCTTCTATATAAAAGGATAAGAAAGGATCAGGTCATTCTTGTCCTTTAACATCCTAACCATTAACATTTTCACTGTGTGTGTTTAACTCTTCAAATATTTTGGCGAATTCAATTTTGTTCTCCTTATTTTTGTCCTTTATTGTATTTTCCTCATTATTTATAGTTTTTGTTCTTATTTAAATTTCATCTTCATTTCTCTGACAGTTTTGCTGTTTTCTGCGTCTTTTTGAAATCTATCTGATTCCCCTTCTACTTCTGTCGTCTTGTATTTCCTACACTCCTTTCTTTCTTCTCCTTCTATTTTATAGTCTCCCTTCATAGAACTGATTGCTTTACTCAACATAAAATATAACAAGAGTATACATCACAAGTTTTACCTTCTTTATGGGCTCCTTTCCCTATTAACCAATTTTGCTGCTCTCTCTCACATGTTTATCGTGTAATACCTGTGTTGACACTGCACCAGTTTCATGTACTCCTCATTATTGTATGATTGCATTTTCCTGGACCAGTTACTGCAGAAAGCTCTTGGTGAGGAGAGACCAGGATAATCCTTCATGATTCGTAACTCAGAGTCTCTCCTCGGTTTCCCACACACCCAGCACGTCACTGTTTGCAACACTTAGTTTAGTTAGCTCCAAACCAGGAGTACCTCAGCAAGTTTCTGCCATCAGCCTTGCTTACTCAATTCCTCAGACTCTTCCAAACTAGAGGTAACTTTTTCTTTTTTAGGGCAGGCCCCTCATTTTTACAAAAATCATTTTTTCCTTTTTTGAGATCTGCTGTTACTGAACTCGCTTTCCACTTTTCTACTTCTTACCGTGCAAATTTTTTCAGGTCTCAGCTGTTCTTGTAGCTCTCACATGTAAGTTTTCTCGCTATACTGTTTGCACATTATAAAGAACTGTTTTCCTTATTGCTTTTGTTTCGTTTCCAGAAGGGGGAAAAGCCCACCTGCACAACCACATTCCTATCAAGTCATCTGAAAGGGTTTTGGCAGAGACCTAAGTTTTAACCCCTGTCTTATAAGACTTGTTTAGTTTACTCTCTTGGATGACAGTAAGCTAATCATAAAAACAGTAACCAGGAACTTAAAATGTTAAGCTAATTTGTCTTCTTAAGTACATGTTGACTATTTCCCAATAGCTTTTACTAGAAATTCTATTCCTCTGCAATTATTAGAGAAATTCAGCTGATTATCAAAATACTTCACTTGATTTGTCATCGAGAAAGTGTCCACATGATAAAATGAGCATCTTAACGCTGCAGATATAAACAGAAAAAATTATAAGCTAGATCCCAGCTTTCCATAGAGCCTTAAGACATGAAGAATACCTAGTCGAGTTAGATGAGCTTAGAGGGGGTTATAAGCAGAGAGATACATTTCACTGTGAAATTGGAGTAGCCATTGAAGTTGAAGGCTGGCTCCCAGTGAGTTTTCTTTTGGGAACACTAAGCAACCGTCAGTGCAAAGGTCACAGAAGTATCTTATGAAGCCAACCACTTATGACTTTTTGTGGCTATGGAACTGATCAAGTCAGTTGTCAAACACAGAATGAAAGCATGGGAGAAAAGAGAAAAAGAAAAGAGAAAAGTAAGAGAGAAGAGAAAAAAGAGCAAAAGAAAAAAAGAAAGAGAGAAAGTAAAGGGGAAATACACAAGGAAATAAATATAGGTAGCAATATTTACATACATATAATATTTCCTAACACTTTTTGTTTCTTAATATAGCCTTAGAATGCAGAATGATTGAAGATAATGAGGATTTTTTCCTTCATATTCTTTCCCCACCTCCATCTGGTTCTATGGTATTCCCCAACCTTTTTTCCCTCACATGTAGAAAATAATATTTGTATCATACTAAAGGAGACTGAAGAAGATGTAGGGGGTAGGAGTTAGTGAAAAATATATTGTTATATTTTATATTATTATATTATTATAAGAAGAATAAAATATAAGTACTAGGGTAAATAATAAGTATGAAATTTATATGACATTTTAAAATATAGTAGTTTCAAATTTTTAATGAGAAATTCCTTCCCTGATCATACATTTAATAATGGATTTTGTGTGTGAAATAGTTATATACACTTTCTGGTAAAAACTATGATTCAAAGAATAAGTTAAGTATTTTTGTGACAGTACCTTGAAAATAATATAACATATAAAACATATATAACATATATTTTATAGAAAAATATTAATTTTTATAGTCATTCAAGGTTTATAGCACTTGAAATTATGTTTGAAAAAGCTAACAACTCTTTCTAGTCTAGAACATTTCAATGTTACAACCCAGAACACTAAATCGAAAGGACATATGCACCCCTATGTTCAATGTACCATTATTTACAATCACCAAGATAGGAAAGTAACTGAAGTGTTCATCAATAGGTGAGTGGATAAAAAAGTTGTAATACATACATACAATGTAACATTACCCAGCCATAAAAATCAATAAAACACTACCATTTGGAACAAGATGGGTGGACCTAGAGGATATTATGCTACGTGAAATAAGTCAAGACAGAGAAACACAAATGCCCTATGATTTCACGAAATAAGTGAACAAACAAAATAGAAACAGACTGATAGATACAAAGAATAGACTAGAGGTTGCCAGAGGGAGGGGGTTGGGAAGACTGGTGATAAAGGTGAAGGGATTAAGTAATACTAATGAGTCAATGCTTGCTTATATTTAAACAATTTATCACTGGTCTTGTTCATCATTCATTCCTCCACCTTAGATTTTTATTTGGAATCCTTTAACTCCTGCCTGAGGTGTTTTTTGGGGTTTTTGTCCATCTGTTTTAATTTCATCTAGTGAGTCATTACCTGGTTGCGAATTTTGTTAGTTATTTCAGCCTGTTCTATCAGTGTTCTGAAGAGTTTGCTATCACTCTCACCATTCCTTAAGAATAATCTTTCTCTGGCTATTTGTGAGCTTTTTCTTTTATAAAACTATAATTTACTAAGTTATGATTCTGGTGTTCATGAAGCATTTTTAAACCTACTTGTAACATGTCAGGCACTGGATAGATGCCTGTGAAGATGAATGCCCTTAAACAGTAGTGGATGAGCCAGATTTTTGATCAAATAACTATAATGTGATGTGAGCGATGAGATAGTAGAGACATACACAAAGTGTTATGACTACACAGATTTCACAGACAATACTTTTAACCTAAGCTGAGAAGACACTGTGCCAATGGGAAACAGAGGCTGAGGTGTGTAACATGGGAAACTTGCTGTATTTGTGAAAGAGCAAACAGAGCTAAACAAAGGTATGTTTACAGAGAAAGTGGCAGATGACTCATGATCAAGTGGGATTATACAAGGAATGCAAGGTTGGTACAACATTTGCAAACCAATTAATGTGATTCACCACATAAACAAAATGAAAGATAAAAACCACATGATCATATCAATAGATGCAGAAAAAGCATTCAATAAAATCTAGCACTGATTTATGCTAAAAAAAAAAACTCTCAGCAAAGTGGGATTAAAGAGAATATACCTAAGCATAGTAACACCTAAACACAATAAAGGCCATATAGGACAAACCCACTGCCAGCATCATACTCAAAGGGCAAAAACCACAGTGTTCCTCTTAAGACTGGGAACAAGGCAGAGATGTCTGCTTTCACCTCTCTTATTCAACATAGTACTGGAACACCTAGCCACAGCACTCAGACAAGAAGAAGAAATAAAAAGCATCTAAATTGGAAAAGAAGAAATAAAATTGTCTTTATTTGTGGATGTACATAGAGAACCCTGAAGATTTCACCAAGAACTACTAGAGCAAATAAAGAAATTTGGCAAAGTAGAAGGATACAGAATTAATATCCAGAAAGCAGTTGCATTTTTATATGCCAATAATAAACTAACACAAAGGGAAATTAAGAACACAATCCCATTCACAATTGCTTCAGAAAGCACAATTGCTTCAGAAAGCACAATTGCTTCAGATATTTTATTCAGAATAAAATATCTAGGAATAAACCTAACCAATGATGTAAAAGATCTATACTTGGAAAATTGTAAGATACCGAAGAAAGAAATCAGTAAGTGGAAGCACATACTGTGTTCATGGAAAGGAAGAATTAACATCATTAAAATGTCTATACTACCCAAAGCAATCTATAGATTCAATGCAATTCCTATCAACATTCCAATGACACATTTCACAGAACTAGAATATTTCAAAAATTTATACAGAACCACAGAAAGTCCCACATAGCAATAGTGATCCTGAGAAAAAAGAACAAAGTTGGAGGAATCACATTACCTAATATCAAACTATATTATAAGGCCACAGTAATCAAAACAGCATGGCACTGACATAAAAACAGACACATAGATCAATGGAACAGATGATAAAGCCTCAAATAAACCCACACCTTTATAGTCAATTAATATTCAACAGTGGAAGCAAGTATATACAATGGACCAAAGGTAGTTTATTCAATAAATGGTGCTGGGAAATTGGACAGATACGTGCAGAAAAATGAAACTAGGCTACCTTCTTACACCACACACACACGCAAATAAATTCAAACTGGATTAAAGATTTCAATGTTAGACCTGAAATCTTGAAAAATAATTTGAAGTCATACTGGGCAGGTCTACATATGCTATGTTTAGAGATTTGGACTTCTATTCCATCATTACTGGGAAGCCACTAACATGCTAAATGCCACAAACACAATGACAACCAGACTTCCACTTTTAGCAGGATAGCTGACATTAGTACACAAGGACTGCAGAGAGTGAAGAATGGAGGGAGGCAGCCAGTTAGAAAATTAGCACAATAATCACAATGAGAGAGAATGTGTACATAAAATAGACAATCATCAAATGCTTCCTGTGAAATTACAGTTTTCTCTTTCCATGCCTTGGGAGAATGTTATCTGAATCCAGAATAACTGTTCCCCAGATTTTCTACTGGTTCCTAAACAAGAAAAGTGCATTGTTATAATTTATATACCATAAAAATTATTAAATTTCCCTTAAGATATCTCATCTTAATATTGTAATGTTAACATAAATTAGTTCCTTTTGAAAATAGATGCAAGAATAAATCTATTTTAGTATAACCTAGAGAAATTATAAAGATTACTTATAGAAAATCTTCATCTTCCCATTTTAGAAAAGAACACTTGTCCTTTACGGCCAGGAGTAGGGGGTGGGAACAATAATCATGTAAGATTAAAACTGCACTGCAGTGAAAAAACTTAGAATGCTGACTTAACCAGTCTAAGAAAATGCCAGTAAGGCTTACCAGAAAAGGGTGACTTGGAATAAAAGCATAAAGAATTGAGTCCCTAACCCTTCCCACTCCCCACCCCATCCTGCTGCTCAAACACCCTCAGTTAAGGAGTAACCAGCTTTGATCTTTACCCTTTAAAAACAACCACATAGCTCTTGTTTTGCCTCCATGATAAAATTTTCTCCTTGTAACGAGGATTTCGTTTTATAATGGTGATTGCTATTAAAGAAACTGATAACAAAAATACACTTTAATGTGTCTTACAATTTGTAGTATTTTTCAATATGTCTACATTTAAATAATTTCACGGGTATCCGGACTTCTTTCCATGAGTAAAATTTTTCTCTAATAAGACAGGATTTATGTACACAGACAGAGTAAATTAGCTGCTGCCTCATAGTTGCTAAGAAAATGAATTGCTTAAGAAGATTAGAGTCATTTTCTTTACTTAAAGGTATTCCTGACAACCCACACTGAAATTACACAAGATTAACTCCATTAACACCATTTCCCATTCTTTAAACTAGTAGCTTTCTAGAAAGCAGCATTTAGACGGAATAGTTCAAAGCATACTTTAAGAGGAGATCTCAACGCTTAGAAATGCTAATATACGTATCATTTAAGGATTTAGAATAAGGTTCGGAGAGGTCAAGTAACATTATTGGTTATACAGTGAGCCATAGTGAAATGAAAAAATGTTGCCTGTTTTTCCCCTTTAACATTTAGTCTGTATTTTCTTTATGCAGATGGTATTTCAAATCAAAGAATAGCTTAAAGGTTATAAAATTGTAATCCCTTAAAGGCAGGGATGGTACTTGATTTATTTTTGTCTTTTCCCATTACATCTTATAGAGCACCTTTAATTTAAGGGAACATTGATTATTAAGTCATATATTTGACATTGCTTTGTCAAAAATACATAAAGCAGAGGGCTTAGAAAAACACAGATTAAAACAATACCATAATATATCAACCTATCTCTAAACATCTTTCTAAATCTGAAAGCAAAATCCATAGCAGAGGCACTAAAATTTAAACTACTTACTTTAACTGCCATTAGTGCTATTAAAATATACAATGCATAGATTTCTCTCTCTGGCCATATGTTGGCATGAACCAAAAAAGAAATTCAAAAAAATATATAATCATCCAAATGTAATTGCTTTACCTTACCTTCTCTGAACCTTAAGTATTCTTCAAGGTTTTTAATTACAAAATTAATACACAAATGTATTCCTCTTTAAAAATCCAAAGCCAAAGGAAGTAGGATCGAGGGTGGAAGATGGGGAAGGTCGGGGTGGGGGGGGAGTGGTGGGAGGAAAAATGGAGATGACTGTACTTGAACAAAACTAAAAATAAATAAATATCTACACATTTCAGAAATAGAGAAAAAAATGAAAAGTCCTATTTTCCTTACTCCCACATTTTCCTTCAACCTCTTTTACTGTCTTTACATGAATGCAAGAAAATTCTGTACTGTTAAGGCCTTCATTTTCATTTTGGCTTCTTAATGGTGGGTCCCAGGCAGAAAATACTAAGGAACACTGACCTAAATCCTTCTTAAAGATCCTAATTGGAATGAACTGCTGAATTCCCAGATTTAGAAATAGTCATTTCTACTTACCAAAAAAGTCTGCTGAATTATAATTACTTTATATTAAGACAGAGTAAGATCAGATCTCAAGGGAAAGTCCCTAACCACTTAATTGTAAAACTTTTCATCAGAAAGCACCGGTGATATAACATTGAGTTGGCTGAAAAATTCAGGTTGTTTTTTTTTTTTTGCAAAATGCCTCTAGAAGCATAGTTGTCTTCAACTTCATTTGAAACAATTTTGTTAGACCATACTGTGACAGCTGTCATTTCAGCATGCATTTTGAAAAAACTTATCAAAATTAGTGAATTTTTGTGTAGCCATTGTAATACTGAAGATGAGAGAAAATAAGCAACATTTTTGGCATATTATGCTTTATTATTTCAAGAAAGGTAAACGCACAACAGAAACACACAAGAAGACTTGTGCATGGTATGGAGAAGGTGCTGTGACTGGTCAAACATGTCTAAAGTGGTTTGCGAAGTCTCGTGCTGGAGATTTCTTGTTGTATGATGCTCCACAGTTGGGTAAACTAATTGAAGTTGACAGTGATCAAATTGAGACATTAAATGACAGCAATCAATGTTATACCACCCAGGAGATAGCCGACATACTAAAAATATCCAAGTCAATAAAATTATTAGTGAAAATTAAAAATGTTGTCTTTTACTTTATAAAAAAAACTAAACGGATCCTTTGGCCAACCCAATATTAATGATAACAACACTAGCTGACATTTATTGAGAATTAATGAGATGCTATACCCTGTTCTTAGTGTTTCTAAAATAAAGACCCTACAGGTGAAATTCTAAGATATAGCACATAATCATCAGTACTTGTGCTCGTATCTTGAATTTGTACATTTTTCATTGTTTGTTTGATGCAGTACTGTCCTGGACTAGAAAATGATTACTAACATTACTTCAAACACGGGCTCACCACAACAGAGAAGTGCAGTGGGTGAGTGAAGCCACCTCCTAGTGCAGTGGTAGAGCCCCTCACTGGGTTCGGGCACTCGCAGCCATGCCAGGATTTTCCAAGCATTCTTGTGCTACTGCTGCTGCTGCTGCTATTGCTATACCTACACTAGTATTTCCTCAATACCTTTAAAATAATTCCCTCTTTTTAAAATTAAATTTATTTTTAAACAGCTTTACTGAGATACAATTCATATTCCATACAATCACCTGTAAAATTAAATTTATTTTTAAAGGAATGTCACATAAATGGAAATTTATATGGATTATTTGCCATAAATAAAAAAGATTACTGGAAAAATAAATTCAGTGAAACAAAGCAATCTTCTTAAATTCCCATTAGATATTGTTGCCTGTTAGTATTCCTGAGCCTGAGACCCGAGCTGTCTCTGTTCAAAGGTAAATCAACAAGTTTTAGTGATAAAATATATGAAGACTAGTATCGATCAGCTTTTTCCTCGCCTTGAACAGAATGATTGGTTAAAGGACTGAAAGAGAATTGAAAAAGAAGTAACTCTCTCACTGTTGTTTCTTTCCCCAATATCGTCTAATAATGTGCCAGGTAAAATTTCAAGTAACTTCTTATTACTTACAATGATTTTGCCTGTGATTGTGATACAAGTCTCAGAATATTCTGAAAACTACACCAAAATGATTTGGAAATCTACTGAAGGATCGATCACTCTATTTTGGTTTCAGAATCTCAAAAGGAATGTTGTTTCTCTCTGCTCCAATATACTTATTATTAAATGGCAAGTAATAGTAAGTTGGTAGGAATGGGTTGTTAACCAAAAAAAAAACCATATTTTTAGAAGGTAAATCTTAGACAGATGAAACAGTGCCTACTTGGGAAGCATGATCAAGTTCAACCACATACTCAATAAATAATACTTCCATCAAAAGTTACATATGACTTTCAGCTTATTACAACTTGCAAAAATGTAAGTGTTTTTATCTTAATAAAAATGTTTCCATTAGTTTTACCTTTGTAATCCTGAGGCACTGTGACTCAGTTTCAAATGCAACTTTGGTTCCACCAAGATGGAGACATAGGTGGAGGAACCACCTTGCCTCTGTTCACAACCAAATCTAAGAACAACTATTTTTAACAACAATCACAACCAAGCCACACGGAAAATCGACAATACGGAGTCCAAAGACAACTAAATGCTCAGCTAAACCGGTAAGAGAAGCGAAGCCAGCAGCGGAGCAGGTTAGCAAGAAAAAATTCCCGGGTGGTGCGCAGTGCGCAAGCAGCCGAAGGCGATGATCGCGAATTAGCTATGGGAGCGCACAGGGAAGAGGCGCTGTGGGCTGTCTCGGTCGGTCGTGCATCTGCGTGCAGAGAAACCAATGAGAAGGGAAGCCTGCACAGGGCAGCAGGCTCGCACAATTCCCATCCGATAAACAAGCCCCAGGCGAGTGGTGTGACTGGACGGGCTGGGCTAGCGGAGAGGACCGCCATTGCTCCCTCTCTGACCACGCCCCCACACACAGCATCACAAACCAGCGACCTGGGTCGGCCCGTCCTGGTAAACAACTAAGGCTTCGCTCCACTTACTTAACAGCACGAATAGACCAAAAATGGCTCTAGGACAACTCAGAGCCCCAGAACCGATAGATCTAAGCGATGAAGAAATAGCCAGTCTTTCAGATGCACAGTTCAAAACACTGGTTATCAGCATCCTTACAGAACTGGTGGATTTTAGTCACAAATTAGAGGAACATATGGAAGCTAAACTAATTGAAATGAATGGTAATACAAAGGAAACCAATAGTAACAGAAAGAAAATTGGGACTCAAATCAAGGGAGTGGACCACAAAGAAGAAAAAAATGATCAAACAGAAAAGAATGAAGAAATAAGAATTCAAAAAAATGAAGAGAAGCTTAGGAACCTCCAGGACATCTTTAAACATTCCAACATCCGAATTATAGGGGTACCAGAAGGGGGAAAGGCACAGCCACCAGTGGAAAACTTATTTGAACAAATAATAAAGGAAAATTTCCCCAATCTGGCAAAGGAAATACACTTCCAGGAAATCCAGGAAGCTCAGAGAGTCCCAAAGAACTTGGACCCAAGAAGGAACACACCAAGGCACATCATCATTACATTAGCCAAGATTAAAATGAAGGAGAGAATCCTAGAAGCAGCAAGAGCTAAGGGGACAGTCACCTACAAAGGAGTTCCCATCAGACTGTCAGTGGATTTCTCAAAAGAGACCTTACAGACAAGAAGGGGCTGAAAAGAGGTATTCCAAGTCATGAAAACCAAAGACCTACAACCAAGACTGCTCTACCCAGCAAAGTTTTCATTTAGAATGGAAGGACAGATAAAGTGCTTCTCAGATAAGACCAAATTCAAGGAGTTCATCATCACCAAGCCCTTATTATATGAAATGTTAAAGGGACTTACCTAAGAAAAAGAAGATAAAAAAGATGAACAGTGAAAGGACAGCAAACTCACAGTTAGTAACAACCACACCTAAAACAAAAGCAAACTAAGAGGACAGCTAGATCAGGAGCAGAACCATAGAAATAAAGATCTCATGGAGGGTTAGCAACAGGGGAGTGGGAGGAGGAGAAGGGGGGAGAAGGTACAGAAAATAAGTAGCATAGACAGTAGATAGAAAATAGATAGGGGTAGGGTAAGAATAGTAGGGGAAATACAGAATCTAAAGAATTTGAGACACGTGTTCATGAACTAAAGGGGGAAATGGTGGGGGAGGGGTATGCAGGGTGGAGGGGAATGGAGGGGGGAATAGAGCAAATGTAATGGCATAATCAATAAAAAAAATGCAACTTTGGAAATTAAAACTTATCCAAAGAGTATCCTCCTGAAAGCCTAAAATGCCCCAGTAAAACCTGTGGCAAAAACCTGATCATCATTTGGTCCAAAGTTATCTTAAAAGTCCTTAAAATGAAAAAAAAAATCAATGAACATGGCAAATGTTATTGGTATACACAATAATTCTCCACATCTACATTATCTAAGTACATTTTATGATGGCCTCAAACAAGTTTAGCGATCCTTACTTCATACACGGCCAAAGTAATGAACATATCTAAAATTATAGTGCCATCTACAGGCAAAGAAAATAACATCAATAAAAGCACATTTTCATGCTTTCACATTTTCTAATTGCTACTCAACCTTTAAAAGAAAACTGGGATTTAATAATCTACACAATGCATTTTCCAATTATATTTACAGAATATAATTTATCATATAAAATGAAGCAAATATTTTTCTAAAATGTGTTACTACTTAATATATCATTTGGTTTTCAATAAACATTAAAATAAAGGTAATTTTTCCAACCCATGGAATTACAATCTCCACATTTTGTGTCCTAAATTTATTTATTATTAAAATATGTAATGACAAAAAAGGGACTTTTGGTATTAAAAATATCCAAATGCCCTATCATCTTAACAGATTATCATCCTTCTTTCCTTTTTACTTCTTTCTTCCTTTCCTTTCTCCTTCCTTCCCAAACTTGCTTCTGGAGACATTTATTTCCTTATGCTATTATTCCTAAAATGCACTGTTCTAAGCTGCTTTACGTGCTCAGCAAATCATCACAATAATCCTAAAAGGTAGGAGTATTACCATCCTCATATTATAGATGTTGAAACTGAAGCACACAAAGCTTAAATAACTTGTCCAAGGCCACATGGCTATAAGTGGCTGAGTCCAGGTTCAAACTGGGGAGTTTGTCTCCAGTCATCCATGCTTTTTAATCACTATGCTGAAGTGCCTCTCATCTGAAAAAGCTGCATTCAGTACATAGAGTGTACATAAATTACTTATTTATATGTTCTGCTATATGTTACTTATGTACATAGAGTGTACATAAATTACTTATTTATATGTTCTGCTTTAAGGGGCAGTATTTTCTACCTAAAACCATCATCATCACTTTTAATACTTAGCACATCTGCCATCAAGTTGATACGTGTCATTTTACTTACTTTTGTTATCTAATGCTGGGCTTTCAAACTAGTTTTAATTTCTTTCATTACATATAAAAGTGCTGCAATAAGCAAATTTTGCATTGTATATGGCTCTTTTCCTTCTTTTGAATTTTATTTCCTTATGCTGATATTCTTGAAATGCTTTGACTTACTTAAAGTATATAAATGTGCCACATTACTAATATATAATGCATACTGCTTTTAAAGTTTCATTATATAATGTTACTTGTAATAAAAGAATGCTCGATTCATCCCATTTCCCCTCAAATTTAAGTAATATAAAATAGTTAAGGATGATTTATGATGTGAAATAGTTAAACCAACAAGTACATGTATTTAAATTTTTAAATGGGCCAACTGTTATCTTCCCCTAGCAACATAAAAGTAGAGATAGTCCTATTATTTGTTGCTTATGAGATGGGTGATACGTTGGTTCTTTAAGTGACCCCCACAAATAATCAATAACATACCCAAAGTCACTACTAAGTGTCAGACCTGAAGTCCGAGCCCAGATCTGCCTGACTCTGAAGTTTGTGTTTCAGATAATGGGGAGTAGAAAAAAAAGTTGAGGATCAATGCATTACAAGATAAAAAAATTGTATAAATTTTTTATTTCAATCTTTATCAAAGATTATTTGTCTCATAAAGGGGTAAACTACCCTGAGGTAGCTATCATAAATAGAGAGACTATATTTTCCTAATATATTTTCTTATCGATAATTTCAAAAATAGTTAAAAACAATCATAATTAACAAAATGCTTCATCTATCTTTATCTCCAACTATGTGCTTTCATTACAATCCAGTTTCATTTATATTCTAAGCAAGGAGCTAAAGGATATAAACACTATTCCAAAACCTTTTTTTTTAAATGCTGTCTTACAGTATTACATACTTACTCCTCATAGTTCAGAAAGACTGTAACTTTTAGAACACCAAATAAAGGTCACTGAAATGTTAGATAATAGAAAAAGAAAAAAACACAGGCTTTGAAGTCTTAAACTCAGACACTGTCACTTACTAGTTACACGCCTTCCAGAATATTAGCAACGAATTCCTACTTCACCTGGATATCATGTAACTAAAGGAGATCATTATAAAGCTCCTAGTACATGGCAGATGCGCAAGAAATTTTAGCTCCCTTTCCTTTAAAGAGAAACATATATATATATGTTATATCAAGGATAACGGTTTTAAAAGTCATGCTTCATTATTTCCCTCAGGCAAATTGTAGCATAACACGAAGCATCAAGATCAAAAGAAATCAGAAGAGATAGAGTTGTTTCACATTTATGGGAACCTTCTGCTTTGACATCAGTATCCTGTTCTTCTCTTAGTTGGTATGAGATATTATGGGGTTGTTTCAAAATCTTCCTGTAGCATCCTGGAACATTCAGTTTCAGAGTAGGTACTCTAAACCTACATGTCTGTAGTCCATCTCTGCTAAGCACTTCCTGGTACCACAGGCCTACTTTGTTTTTTGGGTACTGAATATTGTATCCAAGCACTGGAAGGATCACCTGTGTGTGGGAAGGGGAAAAAAAGATACATGACATAGCCCTCAGAACAACATACGAGATTTAATCTCCAAAATATACAAAGAACTTACACGACTCCACTCTAAGAAGACAAGCAACCCAATTAAAAAATGGGCAAAGGACTTGAACAGACACTTCTCCAAGGAGGACATACAGAATATCCAGAGACACATGAAGAGATGCTCAATATTGTTAGCTATCAGAGAGATGCAACTTAAAACCACAATGAGATACCACTTTACACTGATCAGGATGGCCATCATAAACAAAGCAACAATCAACAAATGTTGGAGAGGGTGTGGGGAAAAGGGGACCTTAGTTCACTGTTGGTGGGACTGCAGACTGGTACAACCATTATGGAAAACAGTATGGAATTTTTCTCAGAAAAATAAAAATCGACCTGCCTTTTGACCCAGCAATTCCACTGTGAGAATTATATCCTAAGAATCCTAAAACATCAATTTCAAAGAACCTATGCACCACAATGTTCATAGCAGCACAATTTACAATAGCCAAGAGCTAGAAGCAACCTAGGTGCCCGTCAGTAAATGAATGGATCAAAAAATTATGGCACATATACACAATGGAATTCTATGCAGCAGGAAGAAAGAAGGAGCTACTACCCTTTGCAACAACATGGATGGAACTGGAAAGCATTATGCTGAGTGAAATAGGCCAGGAGTTGAAAGATAAATACCATATGATCTCACCTTTAACAGGAAGCTAAACAACAAAACAAACAAGCAAGCAAAATAAAAACAAAGACACTGAAATACAGAACAAGGGGACAGTGGCCAGAGGGGAGAGGGGAGGGAATTTCAGGGGAAAAGGGGAAAGATTTACAGGAACAAGTATAAAGGACACATGGACAACAACTAAGGGGGGTGGAAATGGGAGGAGGTGGGGAGCACGGGGCGGGGTGGGCTGGGATAGGAGAAATAGACAGAAAACTGTACTTGAAAAATAACTAAATAAAATTTAAAAAAAGAACAACATACGATCATATTTTAAATTTACTTTGATGACTGAGACCTAGACCTATAAAAACAGTCTCAGAATATAAACAGACAATCAGCCAGAAACATGCTAAGAAAAGAGCTAACTAATATTAAGACTCAATGACCAATGTAACCATCAAGTCAGATGTTATTAGACAAACTACTCCTACGGTACAGCAACAGAACAAGAAGTAAAGGTACATTTAATCAACCAACAAAGACTTAATCTCTAGGATTGCAGTCATACAATCCTAAAAGCATATTCCTTCTAGAACCCAAAGAATAACCTTACTGCTCAATCACATAACTGGTATTTTAGTGGACAATTTTACATCCTTCTTACTTATTTAAAAACTTGAAAGCAAACAAGAGAAAGTAAAAGTAATTTTCATTTTCTCAGTTGCTTATGAGTAAATACTGCATTTTATGGGTTTTCTTCCTTTGCTGATAACTTCCACACATTTTTCATGAAGAGTACCAAAGGGAAGTTGAAAAAGAAACAAGGTAAAAAACTGAAATCCACACAATATTAATGAGTTTCACATTCATTATGCTAACGGAAAGCTGGACACAAAAGACCATACACCATATAATTCCACTTACACATTCTTTCAAAAGTAAAACCTTAGGGATGGGAAGCAGATGAGTTGTTGCCAGGGGTTGGGAGTTGACTACAAAGTGGCCTGAGGAAATTCTGAAGAGAAATAAAACTATTCTTTACTTTGATTTTTGGGATGGTCATATGACTATACACATTTATGAAAACTCATATAACTATAAACTAAGAAGAGGGGTAAAAAAAGTGAGGAAGGGGGACTTAGTCACATTTTGTCCTTTGGGGACATGTCTACATTTAGATCTAAGAGATACTAATAATCTTTAAGGTGAATTTACCTGATGTATTGCATATGTATTAGCCGATTCCTCTTCTTCAGTTACTAGATGAACCTTAAAAAAAAAAAAACATGATGGAAAACATGGATGATTCTCAAATGTTCCAAATTCCTTCAATTTCCCCTGATTTTGTTATGTATAATTTTTATTCCTTTGCTGAACATATATATACCCAGACAAGATCTTTTCACAATTGGTTTCTGGAAAAGCAGACTATATAAAATTTAGACTGAGTCCTCATGCTCTAACACCTGATAACTGAAGCTGGAACAGATTATGGTCAGCAGTTTAACACTTTAAGGCGACACTTTCACCTGGGTCACTAACAATGTTTTTCTAAGTTACAAAGTTGTCTTTTTTTGGCTGAATCAAAAACCTGCTTCTATGAAACCACTCCCCCTCCTCTGTCCCCAACAAATATCATACTCTATGGAAATGCTCCATGAGAAGTGGTGTTGCTCAAAATGTGCTTCATAGAATAGTTACAGGTATTACATGTAGGAGGCACGTGCTGTACGTGTTTGCTGTGCACAAAGCGCAGCACGTTTTCGTGTGCATTATCCACAGGATTATTATACCCATGGTATGTAACTACTATACCCATGGTATGTAACCACTGTACCCATGTACAATGCATATCCTTATTTTTCCCTCAAAAATTTGGGCAACAAAATGTGCAGTGTACAAGGCAAAATACAGTATTAAGTTTGAGCAATGTTGCTATGGGACACCACAGAATAATTCTGATTTCTGTTGCACATGAGAGCTCAAGTACAAAGGCAGCTGCCATCAGCCCGCAAGGACTGACAGCATTCCCACCTTCCCAAAGCATCCGTCATATAACACAGTGTCTAGATCTCCAAATCTGCTTGCTTTCCCCTCGATTCTCTACTTTTATCAATAAAGTCCCTCCTTTTCTGAGTATTTTTCACTCAAGTTTGCTTATTCATAGGTAAATAGCCTGTTTTTAACTGTTCCACTTAGAAGTGGATATAAAACTCCAGGTGTGATCTGACCAAAATACTCGTACATGGGACTATGATCTCTCTTGCATCACTTCCAGCTTTTTGTCTTTCACAAATTCATAAGTGGACCTACCATACTGTAATTTAAGTAATTTATGAAAATACTGAATAAATAGGATCAAGTACAAAAGACCATGTTTTGCTTTAAGAGAACTATCTCCAGGTTAACATCAATCGACAAACATGCTTTTGCTGTATAGCTGCTCCTCAAATATGAATTCACTTAACTAATGTAATTGTCTAACTCACATTTCTCTACCAAATTTTCTGAAATAAAGATATGCCTATTAGCCTAGTAACCTTATCAAAATAAGAGACTCAGACTATATTCCTACCATTTTAAATTATAAATGTACATTACATGCCCAATATACCATTTATTAAAAATCTTATTCTACCTTTTCCCTTTTCATAATTTAAGTTGAGCCTCTAAGTCCTGACTATTCTTTTCTCATTGCTAATTAATAAAGCAAAAATGATTGGTCTTAAAACATATAAAAATATTTTTTGCTGCTAATAAAAGGAAACTGCAAGATACAAAGGAGACAATGTTCTCTTTTCTATCCCCCCAAAAAAGCTGATGCAACTCTAATCACAAAACGCTTTGAAAATGTTATGCTGAATACAGACATTTATAAGATACATACATTCCAGAGATTATTGCTGTATCTTGTGAAAGTGCCCTTTAACTTCGGCAAATCTGAATTATAAATGGCTAACTTACTAAATAATATATTGCTAAGGTAATATTTAAATGGACATGTTCTGGAAATAAAAACGTTCTTAGAATTTTTTATTATTGCTCAAAAGAGGGTCACTGACATTTCTCTTCTTCCATTCAGATGAGGTAAAATAAAACCTACCATACTGCTAGATTTCTTTCTACACAGTTTCAGAGTGTGTGCCTCAGCTAAATAACCATTCTCAGTAATTTATACTCCTAGTAATTACTTTCTTATCTAAATATTCAAAGGCCATCCATGTAATAAAACAGTAACGCAGACCCCTGCTGTTCTGACTTCTCAGCCTTCCGTACCTGTCTTCTGGTAGTGCATTTTCCAGGGAGCCCCCCTCCCAGGTCTCAAATGCAGTTTGGGTGGGATGGTTCCAGGAAGAAGACCTGGAAACACAGTCTTATGTATCACATACTCCAGTTCCCGGTGATTGGTTTGGGGGCATGGGACCCAAGCCAAGCCATCCCTAGCCACTGAGACTCAATTCCATGGCTTTTGTTGAAACTGTTGAGAAAGAAAGCCCTCTTTTCTGGAGGAGTTGTGAAAAATAAGCCTAGAATTGTCAATAACCATCTTGCCACCAAAGGAATGAGCCTGACTGAGAATGAATCTAACACAGAAAAACAGGGCTGAAAGATGAAGAAAATGAGCAATAATGTAGGGCACTGAGTAATACCCTGGCTATAGCTGGGCCTGAACCAATTACGGACTTTCAGTTATAAGGGCCAATAAACTCCTGTCTGCTTTTCCCTCAGTTAGTTTGAGACAGAATCCCATTACTTGAAATGAACATAAATGTCTCCAAGATACTGTTAAGAAGGAAAAAGCAAGTTGTGAAATTGCTCTTATAAATAAAAGAAATAGACAACATTACATGCCCTATATACCTTACTCTATTTTTTTTTCATATTTTAAGCTTTAAACTTGTAAGCCATGCCTTTTCTTTTCTTGGTGTTAACTATTAGAAAAAAATCTCCTTTTCTGTGGATATTTATGTGAGAGCATGAAAAAGATCTAGAAGGCAATAGGCCAAAATGCAGAGGCTGAGGTTCTGGAGGCAAGGGAAGGAATCACAGCAGAGTGGTGGCAGGAATGGCAGCTTTATCTGGAACGTTTCGGTTTTTATTTTCAAGGCAACTGTTGTATGCATTACTTGTGTAATTTTTTAAAAGAATGTGTTCTTCAAAAGAAGGTTTACTATCTTTTTACCATTCAGCTCACACCTCTATTTTATTTTTCCATTTATCGACATGTATGAAACCTCAACTGACAGCACAGTGGAAGCAAGAGATGAGCAAATGTAAGTTAAAAAGAAATAAAATCCATGTTTATTTTTAAATTATTTCTAAAACAAGGGCTTCTGAAAATTAGTGTTCCTGCTGTGGTAACTACTCTTGGGAAACACTGATGAAGTGATACTTACTTTACTGTTTGGAAGATGCTCATCATCACCATCTTCATCCAAACAGACCAAGTCACCCTCTACCACTCTTGATCCATAGGTTGCAAGTCTGTAAGATGCTGCCTCATTCCAAACTTTGCTGCTATATGCATGAATGTAGAAAATGCGCATAGAATGGGGAAAAGAGAACCATGCCTGGATACAACCCTCCTCGGTTATGCCAAAGCGATGCAATGACTCCAACAATGCTCTCTCTCGAACTTTAAATTCGGGCATCAATGAAAGCGTGCCTTTAGCATCCTCTGCAATAAAGAGAAAATCCATTGTCAGTGGGAGTGCAGACTGGTACAACCATTATGGAAAACAGTATGGAATTTTCTAAAAAAACTAAAAATGGACCTGCCTTTTGATCCAGCAATTCCACTTCTGGGATTATATCCTAAGAACCCTAAAACACCAATCCAAAAGAACCTATGCACCCCAATGTTCATAGCAGCACAATTTACAATAGCCAAGAGCTAGAAGCAACCTAGGTGCCCATCAGTAAATGAACGGATCAAAAAATTATGGCACATATACACAATGGAATTCTATGCAGCAGGAAGAAAGGAGCAGCTCCCACCCTTTACAACAACATGGATGGAACTGGAAAGTACCATGTTGAGTGAAATAAGCTAGGTGTTATAAGACAAATACCATATGATCTCACCTTTAACAGGAAGCTAAACAACAAAACAAACAAGCAAGCAAAATAAAAACAAAGACACTGAAATACAGAACAAGGGGACAGTGACCAGAGGGGAGAGGGGAGGAAATTTCGGGGGAAAGGGGGAAGGATTTACAGGAACTAGTATAAAAGACACATGGACAACAGCTAAGGGGGGTGGAAAAGGGAGGAGGTGGGGAGCACAGGGGGGGTGGGCTGGGATGGGAATAAAAGACAGAGAACTGTACTTGAACAATAAATAAATAAATTTAAAAATAAAGAGAAAATCAGTTAGTCAACCAGTTTTATTTAAAAGCCAGTTATAACGACCTTTATTACGCTCTCTAAATGAGAGAAGATGAACTGTGCTATCTTCTCCACCTGAATATGAAGATATTCGGTGCCAACTAAAAACCTAGTTACACTTGAATGTTTTTATTCTCAACCCAGGACTTTCTTTTTTCATTGTTTTTTTCATTTTTTTTTTAAGAAGGGAGAGAGAGAAGTATCAGTGGAAGAGAGCAGCATACATTTGTTGCCTCCTGTACATGACCAGACCAGGGATTGAACCCGTAACCTTTCAGTTATGGGACAACACTCCAGCCAATTGAACCACACAAGCCAGGGCAAGGGTTTTTTTGGTTTTGTTTTTAATAATCATTAAATCAAATGATCCATTCACTTGCCCTGCTTTAAAAACAAAACAACAAAAATGTATTAGTAATTCCTACTTCAGAATGAAGATAAACTAATTTACAGTTATTTACAGAAGTTCAAAAAGGGCCTAGACCCTCTGAGCCTAGAGATTTTAAAAGAACTATTAGAAGTATTTACACAGAATTTTATGAATATGAAGGGGTTGATATCTGGATCCCTCCAGTATACTATTAGGTCTTGCTGGTGGGGTGCTTTTTAAAATTAGAGACTCTACTGCAACAATGCTGATTCAGGTAGGGCCTTGGAATGGGCATTTTAATAACTCTATCAGGTTTCTTATGAACACTGAAGTTTAAAAATCATTGCCATAAGGAAATTATCTTCTCAGGACTCTATAATAGAGACAAACAAGTAAGTCACTTTGAATTTTCTTTAGCATTACTTAGATTACCTATAACAATTTGAAATGCTCATACTATTTATAGATTGTTATGTGGCACAAAAATATTTCTCTTCTATGAATAATTACATATGTATAATATGGATATATTTTAAAATAATGGATATTTTTGAAAACTGATGTCTTTTTCAATGTAAGTGAATTCAGTAAGCACACACACGTAGACCACATATTTGAATCAATCTAAAATACTATGTTGTTAGTATTTTGAATGAGTAAAATACTATGCTGTTGTTATTATTTAAATACAAATAATATTTATTCAGTATTTAGTATGTGCCAAGCACTATTTTAAGAGCATTACATCTGTTATCTTATTTAAATCTCTTAACGGTCTTTTAGGTGCCGTTATTAGCTTCAATTTACAGATGAAGAAACTAAAACAATGAGTCTAACTAAATCATTTGCACAAGCCCATATAGTTGGGAAGTACTAAAGCTGAGCGTTACATCCATTCCTAACCAGTTTTCTTTAGTGTTTCTTATTAAACACATTGCATACATTGCCTCATATTGAGCTAGAGTTTTCAAAATCAGCAGTCAGAGTTGAATGGCAACTAGACCAAAACAATGCATGAAGTATCAGATGTAACATATGTTCTTTTATTTAGTTTATTTTTTTTCCTCTCCTTGAGTTGTAGTGAATTATACTTCCATCAGTACCACTTTAGAACTGGGAACTCATACCTCCTCAGAGGATTCAGACCAAGAAAAACTAAGATGCCATCTCTCCCCTCTACCCTCCCCTCAAGCAAGATTTGGACCAGACAAGAGTCCTTAAGATCGAGTCAAAAACGGAGTACCTAGGCCATACTCCATTGCATGCTCCAAGGGCATGTAATAAAATTATTAAACATACAATATACTGTAATCTATTTCTTACCCACATTTATGTTGCAATGAATGCCCTCCTGCTGATATTATGTACCTTCATAGCTATGTATGGAGTAAAGAAACTTTTAAATACCAGTTTGAAGAAAATATTTCTTTGCTCTATTCACAGGATCATCCAGATCTTCTGGTGTAAGAAATAATTTTACAGCCTTCACCTTTAAACACCAAGCAAGCAAACACATGGTAAATAAAAATTACAAATTACTTACTTTTAAGAAATGTATCTTAAAGGAACAGACATTTAACAAATGATATTTGATACTGCAATGCTATCTTTAAGCTTCCAAAAATTAAACAATCAATGTTAAATTTAGAAGTAAACTTCTGTACAGAGCAATCTTATATACAGGTTTAAAATATTACGGAAAAGAAAAACATCTCTCCCATACATTCCGTACTTCTTCAGTCATTCTGTACCTCTCTCACAGAGGTATTATTACAAGTGTGAATTGTTGACATAAAACTCAGACTTGACCAACATACACCACAAAAACAGGGAAGGAAACAAGTGTAAGGGAATGGCAAGCCACCAATTTCATTCATGTTCTCAAGTCTCAGAATTCTTTGGTCTTAAAAATAATTGCCAGTACCTTTTCTAAAATTGTCAACCTTTTATGTATATATTTTAAGATTTTATTTATTTATTTTTAGATAGAAGGGAAGGGAGAGAGAAAGAGAGGAAGAGAAACACTGATGTGTGAGAGAAACATCAGTCGGTTGCCTCTCCCACGCAACCGATTTGTAGGGTATGAGATTCCTCTAAATCCTCTCTATTCGGTTCACTAAGAATTTGGTAAGTGTCGGTCAATTCTCCGTTAAGTCTCCACAATACTGGACATTGCATACAGTATGCTTTCTAATAATGTCATACCAAAAATATAGTAGCTGCTGGATATGTGTTCAATAATGCAGTATATAGTGTATGTATGTGTGGTATACACATGTATATATGCTGGGTTAAGAAAGCAAGAAGTTGGCTTATATGTAAGTACAACTGAGAAAACAGGAAAGATCGTATTTTTTTAAAAATACATACCACTTCATTCTTCAGCAAAGCCAATCCAATTTGATCTGTATGAACTCTCTTTCCCATTCCAAATCTCTGCGGCCCATAGTAATTCACAAACCCTTTATTCTGTGAATAGCAAAAAAAATTAATAATTAAAGGTATATCGTTATAGACTATATGCCTATGTCCCCTCAGAGTTCCTATGTCAAAATCCTGCCCCCCAGTGTGATGGTGGGTAAAGGTGGGGATTTGGGGAGATAGGGCATGAGCACTGAGCCCTCATGAGTAGGACTAATGTCATTATAGGAACAGACCATGGAGCTAGGTTACTCTTCTTTCTGCCATGTGATAATACAATGAGAAAACCAGGTTAGCAGCCTAATCTCAGGTCCCCAGCCTCCAGAACTATGAGAAATAATTTTCTGTTGTTTAAAAGTCACTCAGTCCATGGTTCTTTGTCACTGCCCTGATCTAAGACAAATAAACACAATTACTACCTTAGAATATGTAATCTAAGAGATCTAAGAATCTAAGAGTCTTCCCCTTCATATGTATTTTAATAAAAGAACCCTATAATCAACACTATAAATGTGGTAACGAAATGGTCTGAGAAACGCTGTACAGTTAAAGAACAGAAAGGAGAAGTATGACTGATTAAAAGTCAGAAAATAAGATGAGTGAAAAAAGCTTTAAAAATGTCAGCTTTCATTCACATTATTTGGGGATTTCCTGGGATGTGGAACTTTTGGTGCTAAAATGGGGGAAGTTCTAGGACAACCGGAATGAATTGGCTACCTAGTATTGGATCTGATCTTTGCCCTGAAGCTCTTTCCGGTTTTGAGACCCTTCTGCTGTCTGATGCACTTGGAATTTATTTTCAAACCCAGCAAGTCCTGGCTTCTTTATACATAGAGTTCACTATTCAGTAATTTCAGTTTCTGAAAGCCTGGGCCAAGACAAGGGCATGGCATCACTTCACCAAGATCACAGAATTGTAGTTCACTACTGTGTCCATTTAAAAACACTGAGCAGTAGTTAAATATGTTCTCACAAAGAAAACACTGAGACCAGATGGTTTATTGAAAGATAGGAGTCTTCCACACTTACTGTATTTATTCACTCAACAATTGCTAAGATAATTTGTTATCAGCATGGTACAAAAGGCACCCTCACATTATGCCATTCACAAAAAACAAGTGCACATAAAGTAAGTACTCCCTGCATTAAATCTTATAGTTAGTATTTTAATTTTTCAAATTTGAAAAAGATAACACCAAATAATATATTAGAACAGCCAAAAGAATCGTAATTACCCCCTCTAATTACTTAGGGTTGCAAACAACAAGGTTTATAGCAATCAGTAATATAACCTTCTAAAACAAAACTTCAAAGACTTCTTCAGAATTTCTTAAATCCCTTCCTTTATCAGGAGAACTAAAGGAAAGTTAGCTAACCCTAAGATTATTCCAAATGGGGATTTTAGAATGAGCAGTTGTACATCCACAACTACCAAATGAAAGACAGGCAATAAATGCTATCAGAGTTCAGAGAAACCCCCTCTTTTGGCGTTCCAAGCACCCAATTTCAATGTGGAGGGAGGGTTCCCACACCGACAAGCATCTCTCTGACATTAGCTGGGTGTCCTACAATTCAACTCCCTTCTGACCCTCTCTACCCAGAGATAGCATCAGATTCCACAGATTAAGCATTGCCTCACCCCCACCACCTTCAGACACCAGGTCAGTCACAGACCCAGGCTGCACAGGTGCCTCTGACCACCTGCTATAGACTGGTAGTTACAATGAACACTCTTGGACTTCAGACATAGGCCGAAGGTCCAGGTTGTTACCTGTATTTCTGACCAACTTGCTCTAAATTAGAGGATACCCAGACCCCTTCCTTGGGTTCGATTAATTTGCTAGAGAGGCTTGAAGACCTTAGAGAAACATTTTACTTACCACATCACCAATTTATTATAAACTCAGAGTTATGTAACTCAGGAACAGTCAGATGAAGACGTGCATAGAACAATGTGGGGAGGGTACAGGGTTACTATGTCCTCTCCACGTACACAGATCTCCCTGCATCTCCAACTCGGAGTTCACAAGCCCATAGGCTCTCCAAACAAACCTTGTCCTTTGGGGGTTTTATGGAGATTTGGTGACAGAGGCATAATTGATTAAATCATTGGCCACTGGCAATTGATTCAACCTTCAGCCCCTCATCCCTCAACCCTCCCCACTCCTAGTTCAGTGAGTGGTACTAAAAGTTACAACCCTGTGATCACAAGGTTGGCCCCACTGGCAAATGGTCCCTATCCTTAGGTGCTTCCCAAAAGTCTCCTAATTATAGACACAGACAACTCTATCACTCTCAACACTTAGGAAGTTCCCAGCATTTGAGGAGCTGTGAGCCAGGAACTGTAGATGAAGACCAAACATATGAAAAATATATTTTGGACATATGAATGACCAAATATATATTTCTTATAAATCATAATATTGCATCCCCTCCTTTTTGTAAGAAATATTTTAATAACCGTTTTCAGGGGGAAATAAAGAATTTAAAGTTGATCTAGAAAAGAGAAAAACCTTACATAGAGTGTACAATCAGAGAACTCCTATATGTATGTGAAAGTGCTGGATTTAAAATCTTTAATTGGAAGATATTTTCCTGACTATATGGCAAAATACCAGTTAAAAACCAGTTTTTATTTGCTTTCCTGGAAGGGAGGCATAAAATTGTATAACAAGTCTTTGTGGTCAGGAACTTAGATCAGTGTTTCTCAATATTGGCTACAGAGTAGAAACCCTGAGGGAGCTTTTTAAAAATATTCATGCCTCAGTGCATCCCCCAGTGCCCTTATTTAATTGGTTAGGGAGTAGAGACTGCTGAGAATTTTCAAAGCCCCACAGGTTCAGAGTTACTGGTTTAAACCAGGAGGTGGCAAACTACTAACAAGTCAGATCTGGTCCAACACCTGTATTTGTAAATAAAGTTTTATTGGAAAATGACCATGCTCATTCATTTATGTACTGAATGTGGCTTCATCTGCACAATAGCAATACAGTATTTGCAACAGAGCCCATATGCCAACAAAGCCAAAAATATTTGTTATCTGGCTCTGTACAGAAAAAAATGTGCTGATCCATAGTCTGATTGGACTGAAAATTATGGTTGTATATGTACATTTAAATGCCTAGCAAATGTCACTTAAATATGTATGTTAAGTAATTTTTAATATAAAGCATAATACAATGTATGCAATTTGTCATTTGCATATATTAAAACAAGATTCAAAATTAGATTAAAAAGAAAAAATATTATGTATAATTCTACAAAATAATTTACCCAATTACCAATGATTTCTGTAAAGAATTACTTAACAAAGTTTAAAAAAAATCAATGCGTTTCCCTAAAATATCACTCTATATGCAGATACTAAAAAGCATTCTTCTCATACAGATTATTTTTCCCCATTTCTGGAAAACTCTATACATTTTGTTTTTTTTAATTACATTTAGGTTGTAGGGATTGTTTCAAACAAAAATGTACCAAAAAAAATTTTTTTTTAATTTTATTTATTTATCTTTAGAGGGGAAGGGAAGGAGACAGCCAGAGAAACATCAATGTATGGTTGCCTTTCATGCGTCCCCTGCTGGGAATTGGCCTGCAGGGAACTGGCCTGCAACCCAGGAATGTGCCCTGACTGGGAATCGAACCGCGATTGTCTGGTTCGCAGGCCCGCGCTCAATCCACTGAGCTACACCAGCCAGGACCCAAAAATTTTTTTAAATAAGGGAAATGGCCCGACTTATCATTTAAAAAAATAATTATACATGTAAATAAGAAGAAAAAGTTTCCCTTCTTACCTCAACATACTGTATTCTGCCATGTATAATGCACACCCATATTTTAGGCCCAAACATTAAAAAAAAAGTCTTTCATTTTCATTTTTTAAGTCAATTATTTATTTATTTATATTTTGATATTTGTTTTTTGTATTATAAAGGAATTTTAGCATTTATTTTTAAACACATTATGTTATAAGAAATTTTATGTAACAAATAACTACAAAACACAAGAACAAATACAAGGTATTTTAGGTACTACCCAGGCATGATGCACATCCCTCAAAGTTGTAGGCAAAAAGTGTGCATTACACACAGCAAAATATGAAATAGAGAGACCATAGCTGGTAAAGATTTTCCTGTAATACTCTCTTAAAATTGAGTTTTCTTACCTTAACACTTTCTATCGCTTCCAAAATTCTCTCTCTCAGGTTTACAGAATCATTTATTTGGTTTTTCAAATTTCTGATGACAATATCAAAGTGATTTCCTTTGAGCTGACCGAGTCTAAGGGAATCATCTACAGACCGAATATTAAAAACACTCATTCTTTTCTTTTCAATTTCTTTCTCTATATTTTTCAACCTGTAAGTGATAAATGATGTAGAATCAGTTAAATCTTGTATTTCAAAAATTATGTTTTATTTTTTGTATCAAGTTTTTAAAATATTTATTTTTATTTTTAGTATATTTTATTGATTATGCTATTACAGTTGTCCCATTTTATTATGTTTTAAATGACAGTTTCCAGGTAATCACATACCACAACACTAAAAACAAAACTTTTTTTAATCTTCCAAAGTTAGTGTTATTTCAATAAATGTGCACAGAGCCCATTATTATAAGATTCTATGAACCAGTTATATTTTTTTACTTTTATTTTATTTTATTTTTATTTATTTATTTATTTATCTTTAGAGGGGAAGGGAAGGAGAGAGGGAGAGAAACATCAAGGTATGGTTGCCTTTCGTGGGTCCCCTGCTGGGAACTGGCCTGTAGAGAACCAGCCTGCAACCCTGGCATGTGCCCTGACTAGGAATCGAATTGTGATTATCTGGTTCGTAGGCCCGCGCTCAATCCACTGAGCTACACCAGCCAGGGCTTGAACCAGTTATTTTAAGAACTAAAATATATATTCCTAATGTCATCACTCAGTCTTTGTAGGCCTTTTGACTTCATAGTTCAAGTGATACAATTTCTTAATTGTTCCTTTGTTCTTCCTGTCCATAAATTTTGTTTCTTTCCTCTTCAGTCTCTCTGACCATTTGGCTTACTGTCCCTCGAAATATATGTTCAGATTTTCAGCATAGGCTAAAATATTACTCTTACTTGATGGGTTATTAAAATCTCATACCCACAAGCCAAAGCAAAAAACTCTCTTCTAGGAACCAATAAAATTTGTCTTTCGTAGTTAAAAACTAGCTTTTAACATTTAAATACCTTTTAACACCTAAAGTCCTTCCCCTTACCTATACTGTACTTTTGACCAAAACACAAAAATCATATACTTCTTTTTGGTCCCACATACTAGAGCTTAGAAGCTTTTACCTGCAAATAGTGGAGAGTTAAACATCTTATGACTAAGGATAAATGTCAATATTACATCAAATTAGCCCTGGCTGGTGTGGCTCAGTGGATTGAGTGCTGGCCTGTGAACCAAAGGGTCACCTGTTCAAGGCTCATGCCTGGGTTGCAGGCCAGGGCCCCAGTGGGAAGTGTGTGAGAGGCAACCACATGTTGATGCTTCTCTCCCACTCTTTCTCCTTCCCTTTCCCTCTCTGTAAAAAAAATAAATAATGTCTTTAAAAAAACATTACATCAAATTAGGCTCAATTTTGACCCAATGGTTCAACTTTCTGAAAAGTATCTATAAGGCACAGGTTTCAGTACAATAATATTAATCACAATATTATTTACAGTGAAATAGTGAAACAAATTTCTATATCCAGAACTAGAGGGGATGTTAAACAAATTAGCCTAAGTAATGGAAATAATTTGAAAATATTTCATGACATAAACTTTCTTAAAATAATCTTCTTTTTATAAGTCAAATATAAGGAGCATATATAGTATGATTTTCATATATCTAAAAGTTTTTCTACAATGTACATTTGCAGTACAGTTTCTAAAAAAATTATAGAAGGAAGTACATCAAAATATTATTGTGGATCTTTCTGAGTACTGGAATTATCAGTGACTTTTAATTTCTGTTTTACACAGCATTTTTTTCTATTTTCTAAATCTCTAATAAATATGTATTTCTTTTATAATTATAAAAAATACTTTTGAAAACTGATTAAGCTGAAGGGAGGCTAAAGTTGAGTACTTTACTTTCTATTTAACAAAGATTTATTTTAAATATAAGGAAGCACAAAAATAAAAGTATAAAAGCATTATAGTAACTAGAAAAAAATTTGTAAGACACTGTCCTGAATATAAATGCACATCTGAATATAAAATAGGATGTTTAGAGACAATTTTGATCATTTAAAATCAGCCACTTCTCAAAGTTTCTATGCTAAACTCACCTATATTTACAATGTAAATTTAAGACATAACTGCATAGAAGATAATTATATTGTCAATACAGAATGTGCTGGTCAGTAAGCCTGTACTCAACAAATTAATATTAATGAGGTTAACGTGCTTTTAGCATTATTCTGAGCTTAATCTTATATTTACTTATCTGACGCAATAAGAAAGAAAAGTTGCCTCTTATCAAGTAATGTCTTATTACCTCTCTGGAGTCACTTTTCTAACAACCATTGCTTGATAGGTGATGGCTTTCTTGTCTTTAACACCAGCATAACTAAAATCCGAAGGTATCACACCAAGTTTGACAGCCAAAAAACCAACTGCTTCAAACATTTCTACATTCTCTTTCCGCAGGGTGAAGGCTGAAATAAAAATTATCCCCAGTTACAAAAAACCAGCTATCATACATCAAGTACATTCTGAGCAGACTAACATATTAATATAATGAATCAAAGTATTAATTTAAATAAGTATTGTTCAATCAAAATACAAAATCACAGATTTCAGCTGTCATTTTCAAAATATTAACTGGCTCATTAAAAGCCAATTAACATTGGGGTTTAAAGGGAAAAAAACCCAAATTCCTTAACTGGGCATTCACATCAGGCCCCATCTCCCTTTTCAGTCCCAGGTATGCCATTTCGGTCATATAGCCTGTGATCTCCACACAGGGAATTTCTTATAATCCTTGGATGGACTAGAGACTTTCACAGTTTTGCACTTTTGCACATTTGAGTCTCCATCTAAAATATGTGTTCCTTCCATTTTATTTGCCAAACTTCTATTAGTTCTTCACAATCCAACACCACCAGTAGTCCTCTCTCAAATTCTTTGCAGGTTCCCAAGGCTGAATGTTCCCAAAGCAGGGATTGTGTTTCTTTTATTGACTACTATATCCTCAGCCTAACACATAGTAAATATTTAAATATTTGTTGAATCAATGAGTAAATGAACTTCACGAGGAATTAATCCCTTTATCTTGCATGTCTCCATGTGGTACACTTAACACCATGTATTACAATTTATCTCTTTGCAGTGTGTCCACCCCACAGACTGGGAGTTCCAGGCCAGCAAGCCAGTGATTAAAATGTTGCTTGCTTCATGGCAGACGTTTAAAACATCTGTTGGATGAGAGAGAGGGTGGGAGGGAAACTGTGGAGGTGGGGAGGAGGACCAAGCCCACAAAAACAAAAAAGAAAAAAAACAATGTGTTGACTTATATAACCTTCTAGAGCCTGACAAAATACCGCAATCCTCAGTTCACCATATTTACATATAAGATACTTCAAGTACTGCTCTCTCCACCCAAATCATAAACTCAAAATTCAAATTTTCTTGCAGAATAATTTATATTTTGTTCAATTGTTGTATTTGTCATCAGCAAGATACAAGGGCTTCTGAGTGCTCTAAGAAAAATGAGCATTGAATATAAAAATGACTCAGAAAGTAGAAAGATGTAAAATGTATGTATATATGCACCTATCCTTGAATATAGGGTGTGGCACATATCAAGGGCATTCAGTATAAACCACAGAAAGATCATGATATAACAGTAGAACTATATGACAGGCTTGGTATAAAGTTTACTCTATACCTCCTGTACTAAAACTTGAATCTTCAAATGTAGCTGCAAATCACTTCATACCTGCTAAGCAAAGTTCAACACTCTTAAAAAGAAGACAACAAAATCAAGACACTCAAAAAGGAACTCCCAATGATTCACCTCAAAAAAACATTAATAGACATGCAAAGTAGCACAAAAATATGACTCATACCCGAATAAAGGACAGTCAAGAAAAATATACCCAGAATTGACAGAGATGGAATTAGCAGACAAATGGAAGCTCAGAGAGTCCCAAAGAAGTTGGACCCAAGAAGGAACACACCAAAGCACATCATTATTACATTACCCAAGATTAAAATGAAGGAGAGAATCCTAGAAGCAGCAAGAGCTAAGGGGACAGTCACCTACAAAGGAGTTCCCATCAGACTGTCAGCTGATTTCTCAAAAGACACCTTACAGGCAAGAAGGCACTGGAAAGAAGTATTCCAAGTCATGAAATCCAAAGACCTACAACCAAGATTGCTCTATCCAGCAAAGCTTTCATTTAGAATGGAAGGACAGATAAGGTGCTTCTCAGGTAAGGCCAAATTCAAGAAGTTCATCATCACCAAGCCCTTATTATATGAAATGGTAAAGGGACTTATCTAAGAAAAAGAAGATAAAAAAGATGAACAGTGAAAGGAGAGCAAACACACAGGTATTAACAACCACATCTAAAACAAAAGCAAACTAAAAGGACAGCTAGATCAGGAGAGGAACCATAGAAATGAAGATCTCATGGAGGGTTAGCAACAGGGGAGTGGGAGGAGAAGGGGGGAGAAGGTACAGAAAATAAGTAGCATAGATGGTAGGTAGAAAATAGATAGGGGGAGGGCAAGAATAGTATGGGAAATATAGAATCCAAAGAACTTGAGACACATGGTCATAAACTAAAGGGGGGGAATGGTAGGGGTGGGGGGTGCAGGGTGGAGGGGAATGAAGGGGGGGTATAGAACAACTGTAATGGCATAATCAATAAAATAAAAATTTTTAAAAAACCTGATCAGGAAGAACAAAAAAATGGTTAAAATGGTAAATTATATGTCCTATATATTTTACAAGTTTTTAAAAAGTGTTCTATTTTATTTTTGATGGGTCTACTTATTAAGGAATTTTTATTATTATTCCCAGTCTGTGAGCTACTTTTGTTGTTACAAAAGGTTAGCCTAAGCAAAATTTGGGCTAGGCCAAGTTTACATCTTTTTCTTTGTTCTTAGACTTGTAGGTATACTGGTATCTTCATAGTATCCTCTGGTGAACCATCGACTCCTCCCTTTAACATATGCCCCCCAGTTACTCATAGTTATAATAAAAACTAATATAAACACACAATAAAAAGTTTCCACAATTTTTTAGTTCATTAACTCAAATTGATGCTTTTAGAACAATAAGTAGTATAAAATCTAGATACAGATGCTTAAATCACTATAAGCAATTCTTTCCTCTACATGTAAAGCTAGTTTTGTTTTTCCTTCTAAATGGATTTATCTGTTAACTTTTATTGCATGCATCAGGTGTCAAGTCCTATACTAGCAGCTTTCATGGAAAAGACAAGTCACACAACCAGACAGAAAGACATCAACATTTGAGTAACTATCATGTATCAAACATTTTCACTCATTATGTCCTCTGAACCTTAGAATATCATTGTGAATTACACTTTACTATTACCCCATTTTTAAAGTACAACCAAAAGTTATGAATTGTTAAGTAACTTGCCCATGGTATTATTCTCTCCATTTTTTTACATTTGTGGAAACTAAGTCTTAAAGATATTAACAAATTTATAAATCTTTCTATGAACTAAAGTCATAATGTAAAGCAAAACCCACACAGCTCCAAGGTCCAAACTCTGAGAACAGGTTTCTGAAATCTGTTTTAAGAACTTTTGGTAATTTTATTGCATGCTAACACTTGAGAACCTCTTTTCTAAAAGGCTGACAGAGCCAAAGGAAGAAGTTCCCTATAAGTTTTCAGGGTAGTGAGTTTCAACTATTTTAGAATACAAGGTATTCTCTTCACTTTCCCAAGCATGGCAAACATATTCTGCTTATCTGCAAATAGTTCATTTGAATTAACTTTCAAAATATGATCTCAAGATTTACCTCCAAAAAATATAAAGACAAAATAACTACTTAAACCTTACATATTTGTAACTGTTAACTATAAACGTCTCTGTTAACCACACTGTCCCCAATAAGGTTAATTTTTACAATCAGTGTAATTTGAAAGTCTTGATTGTCCATTAAAAAAGACCCATATTATTTATTCCAATATTCTTCTGGACAAGTCTGTTCATTTGAATTATTCAGCTTTCACTGATTTCTCACTGGATCACAATTTTAAATAAGTTTATCCAAGAAAACGGTTAATGATTTATTTAATTACCTGTATATATAACTTTTCTTTCCTGGCATTCAACAGACCTCTTCCTGTGGTTGTGTGCTTTTTCACGAAATCTTACTGTTATCACTGTATTTGGATTACCAGCACTGTAATTAGCTTCAGAAAAAGATTTGGTTTCCACAAGATTTCCAAACTTTTTGTTCACAAAATGGTGTACAGCTTTTCTGTGGTCTTTGCTTCCATCTGGTTTAAAGGTAAATTTGGAATTTTCTTTTTTTGCATCCAAGTATTTAAAAAAGTCAAATGCTTCTTCTTCAGACACCAAGTGACAGAGTTCTTTATACTCAAGATTTGGTTTTACAACAATTTCAGTGTTTTTTCCTACAGTTATTAAAAAAGGAAATTTCTGCCTAATAGCACTATGCAAAACAGCCCTCTGTTTTTTATCAAGGATTCTGCCTACAGAGAATTCAGGAGATGGTCCACTTAGCTCACTTTTAGAATTCCATTTCTCTTTTATATCGCAGGCAAACTGATTCAGTAATTCATTAGTATTTTCATTTAACAAAGAGCCTAATGAATAAACTTTTTCTTCTTCATCTTTGGAAATTCCATCACTGATAGTATCTTCCTTTTCTGAACCAGACTGACAATTCTGGTCATCATCAGAGTACCAGACCAAAGTACTGACTTTCTCCTTGCTTCCCTCTTTAAAGGATAAATTTTGAAAACCTGTTTTTGTTTTTTTGGCAATATTATTTGGCTCAGGTAGTACTTTACTACTTTTGTAAATAGGTTCATCAATGGCTTGATTAACTAACTGTCCCTGCTCATCAATCTCAATAACAACAAAGTCATTTGGTGAACTTTTTATAGTGCCATGAAATCCAACATGATCAGTAATGAAACACAAAGAACTAAACCTTATTTGAAAATCTGGATCCTCTTCCATTCTTAAATAGCAATGCCTACAAAAGAAACAAAAAGGCAGTCAGTTAACAGAAAGAGAAGTTGTAGCTAACTCCTTCCCCCCGAAAAAATGTTTGCAGAATTTACTTCTCTTCCTCACTTTCGTCCATGACGGCAAGAAACTTATCAGCTTTATTCACTGACTAGTTCACATCTAGAAAACTGTCAAGCACGTTGTAGGCAAGCAATCAACAGTGATTGTCGAATAAATGAAACAACCAGTAAAAATAAGAGCTGTAAGAGTGAAGAGGAAGAAAGAAGAGATTGCTTCTGCCTATGATGAATCAGTAAAAGCGTAATACAAGAAGTGGCCTTCTAAGTCCTCAAAATTGTGCAGCAATAGAAATGAGGCCAAGTCGTATCATAAGTAATGTACAAACAAAATATGCAATGCGTTAGAGAAAACTGAACAGCCCAGAGACTCGGCAGTAGGAGAAAACATTTTCTAGTACAGCTCTGGAAGATAGAGCTGGATTAGTAACAAACTATGTAAGACACTTAGTGCTCTGTCAAGGACTTAGAATCCATCGACTGGTCAGTGGATGGCCACTGAAGGAAAATGGCACAATCCAAAAAGATGTTTTAGTAAGATGACTGACGGCACTGGGCAAGATAAATGATGAAGAGTTAGAGGAGTTGAAAACCAACGTAATCGAGAGCACAGTTGTAGAACTGGCCTTAAAAAGAATAATATTATACTTTGCCCAGTAAAAGGGAAAAAGCTAGCAGAACTGGGGCAGAATTTCCAAGAGAATTACAATAAAGCATCTTACTAAAGTAGTGGATCTAAGCTAGAGGACAGCCGAGTAGCCCACGCGCAGTGTTCCTTAGCAACGGTTATGCTCCAGAGGGTGCAGGGTGGACAGAGGGAGGGTAGTTTGACACAAGGTAGGGGAATTGCTGGTAGAGGGCAGATTCTGGCCAGATGTTAAAAACGGAAGAAGGTGGCGCCTTTTGCCTCATGCTCTTACTTCACTAATCATCAAAGGTCCGCGAAGCACACTCCTACTTTCTGCTTATTTCACCAGGCCACAGACCTAAAGCCTGCGGCTGCGTGGCCCGCAGTCGTCCAAGAGTACCACCGGACACTACCGGCATCTCCACTTTCTTCTACCTCCCCCACAGCCGCCCGTCCTAAAGCGCGGTATTAGCCCGCATCGTCTCCTCTTGCGAGTAAAGCGTTGGGGCTCCAATGCCAATCACTGCACCGCCCCCCACACACACACCCGAGTCCTCGCCAGAGCCCCGACCCGGTCCACCACGCGCCCAGGTGACGGCGCTCCCCTGCGCAACGCTGTGCGCATGCCGGAAGACCAAATAAGTAGCCGCCGACAGAAAGGTTTTAAAGGGACAGACTCCTACTTAAAGTAGCGCCTCACGCGAGAGCTGGAATTTTTCAGAGTGTGGAGTTGCCTGCAGGCTCTAAATGGAACTGGAGGGCGGGACCGACGGGGCCTGGGGCGGAGCTTTAATGGTTGGGCCCGCTCCGCCCCGCCCCTTCACGTTGCACAAGTTCCTTCCCTGCTGTCTCGGCAGGGCGGGGTCTGGCCGCCAGCGCCCGCTCTCCAGCAGGTAGGGGATTCCGGCAGAGTGCACCACCTTCCCGGTAGGCGGTGGGAGGTCCGCATCCCGGTCTCTGTCCCTCTGCCCAAGGGTTGTTGAGGGACCATTTAGGAAGGACAATCGCTTATGTTCTAAATGAGGAAAGTTAGAGAGGAAGTAGGTTGCGTGGGCAGAGCTTGCTCCAGAATTAACTCTTGGGTGGGTCTCCGGTGGGTCCCTAGAGATTGAAAAGTGAGGCGGGACCTGGGGCGTAGAAGGGAGTCCCCGAGCCATTTCGTCGCTGAGCTGGACCTCGCTCCCAGCCCCTCAGCTCCCAGGCAGAGTGTTCTGATTACCCGTTTATGAAATCGCTTAGCCTGAGCACCAGGAAGTAAGACCAGCAGCCTTACTTCCCAGGCAGAGATGCTCAGGACGTGGAAAGCATTGCGCCTCCACAAGTCTAATTAACTTGTTTCTCCGGCTTCCAAGCTTCCAGGAAATTAGAAAGTCGAGAGGGGTTGTAAGAAGCAGATACGTGCACTGCCAGATGGGAAAAGTGTACCCGACAGCCTGGAAGCTACGCTTCGTTAAAGGAGGCTGGCACTGTGTGAAAAGCTTAGCTTTCTTCTCAGACCTCTTAGTTCCGTCCTTTCAGTAGACCCTCACCACCATTCTGAAAATTGAGCTTAAATACAACTCTGCACATTTCTTTTTTAAATATGTGAAATAAGAATAACTTCTGCCATAAAATAATCATCACTACTTTTTTTGATCATCTGTTACAAGATTAGGACCTTCTCATTCGTTGATTTGAAATCTTATGCAACTTTTAGGTATTACCATCTCTGTTTTTCTGGTGAAGAAACCAGGGTCCAGTGAATTGAGGGTCTTCCCTAGTCATTGTTGGCTGGTGGAAAAGCTATATTGAAACCTGGGCCCATGCAACCTCAAAGTCCATCTGTCCTCCTCCCCTATACTCTCTTCCTCTGATCAGAGCACCGCCTTGAAACTTTATTTATTCATTTGACAACAATTTTTAATCCTATTTTGGCTACAAAACTTTGAGAATGTGGGAAGGCATTGGGTTTTGCAAGCTGACACTAGTTTTAGTGTATGTCTCAATTATCATTTACTTGCGTTCTTTTTTGAGTTGTCTTGTTTGAAAATGTGAATGGTGTTTCTTTACAATGAGAATGAATAGTATGAGAAAATACTCACGGAGGTATTCATGATTTGTAAGTAATATATCTCATTCCACTTCCATTAATCTTAAGTGCACTAAAGTAAATCTTGAACACTTGGAAAGAGGTGGTGCTTTCAAAAAATTTTTTCTGCACAAATAATTTATTTTCATTATTGGTGATGGTAGAAAAGCAAATGAAAACAAAAATCACTTTCCAAAGATAATTACAGGTGGGCTTGGGACTGACTGGCCTTGGCCTTGGCACATGGGGTGCATATTGCTGCCTAGGGTGCCTCAGTGGTTCTGCGAGGCACGCTGCTCCAGGGACTGGTGGGTCCCAATGTGGCTGGGCCTTGCATGGATGGCCCTGCTTCCGAGGCCTGAGCTTTCTCTCCTCCTCGTCATCACCACCGTGCTCAGGTGCCAGGAACAGACATAGCTCACCTAACTGGAGGGCCACCCTGAAGACCATCCGGACCAGAGTTCACAAAATGACACCTACTTGAACTCTGCCTTGGACCTCCTGGAAGGCAAGGATGGGCTCTGCCAAAATAAGTGCAGTGACCATGAAAGGGAGCCCCCACTGCGAGGCCCACTCTTCTAGGGCTGCTGGGGGAACAGAGGGCCTGCAGTGTAAGAGCAAGGCAAACCTTGACGCTGTCCTTGGCCATGGAAGCACCTAGACTGTTAGAATCTTGCAGTTCTTGTCATTGAGCCACCTGGTTACAAGTCACATCTCTATTGTTAGAGTGTGAGACATAGCTTGAGTGTGCACTCTCCGCTCTTTTTTCATTGCTTCTGAAGTTGTTTTGTGTTTTTTTTTTTTGCTTGCTGTTGCACAACATGGCCTAAGAATTTGTTGACGTTCGCATCATAGGAATGGAGTGGAACAGAATGGAGTGAAACACACTGATTTTAGCTCTATATTTTAGCACCTTAAGTAAGTTAGCTGAACATGCAAAACATACTGAAAATTTTAGGGTTATGATGGTTTAACTTTCTCAAGAATTGGATTTAGGGAAAAAAAAGTAGTGGACTTCTGGTCAAGATTGAGGTATAGGTAGACATGCTTCACCTCCCTAGGCTACCATAGAAAGAATTACAACTAGATCTCAAAACAAATAACACCCAGAACTGTCAGAAAATCCAGCTGTATGGAAGTCCGACAGCCAAGGAATTAAAAACAATACATTCATCTAGACTGGTCGGAGGGGTGGAGAATTGGAGATGGGGAAAGGAGACCCACTGTGCCTCCAAGAGGTGGCAGTGGAAGGTCGGTTCCACATTCACTATGGTGGATAGAAATTGGGAGGGATACCTTGGGAGCAGCATTCCAGCCCCAGGCCAGACCATATAGCCCAGGGTTCTAGCACCAGCAAGATAAACCCCTATTACTTCTGGCTGTTAAAACCAGTGGGGGTTGGGACGACAAAGAAACCACTGGGGTTTCAGGAGACTCTATTTAAATCCACCGAATCTTAAAACCTACATAAACCCACCCACCATGGAATTTACCACCAGGGCAACAGCTGGAACAGCACCAGTCACGCCCAGGACGTGGGTGAAGTGACTGGAAATGGTGGATGAGTGCTGGGCAAACCTACAGAAGCCAGGCAGTGGTATTGTCCCTTCTCTGAGCACTCCCCTCAACACAGCCACCTAGTGGTAAGGCAGATTACTCTGCCCTGGCTCCACCCCACGCTATTTACAAGTGCCTTTTCTGAAGAGGCCATACTACTAAGACAGGGAGTCAAAGCAGCTCTACCTAATCATAGAAACAAACACTGGGAGGCTGCCAAATTGAGGAGACGAAGAAGTATGGCTCACATGAAAGAACAGGACAAAAATCTAGAAAAAGAACTAAAGGAAATGGAGATAACCACCTATCAGATGCAGAGTTCAAAACACTGGTGCTCCGTATGCTCAAAGAACTCATTGACTACAGCAACAACATAAAAGAAGAAATGAAGGGTCACCAAGTGAAATAAAGAAAAATCTACAAGGAGCCATCAGTGGAGGGAAGGAATCTGGGATTCAAATCAACAATTTGGAACATAAGGAAGAAATAAGCCTTCAACCAGAACAGCAAGAAGAAAAAAGAATTTTTTAAAAATGAGGATAGAATAAGGAACCCCTGGGACATCTCCAAACATACCAACATACATATCATGGGGGTGCCAGAAGGAGAAGAGGAAGAGCAAGAAATTGAAAACTTATTTGAAAAACTGACAAAAGAAAACTTCCCTAATTTGGCCAAGGAAATAGACATACAACTCTAGGAAGCACAGAGAGTCCCAAACAAGTTGGACCCAAAGAATGCCACACCAAAACATATTATAATTAAAATGCCAAAAGTTAAAGATAAAGAGAATCTTAAAAGCAGCAAGAGAAAAGCAGAGAGTTATCTGCAAAGGAGTTTCCATAAGACCATCAGCTGAATCCTCAAAACAAACTTTGCAGGACAGAAGGAACTGGCAAGAAGTATCAAAGTGATGAAAACCAAGGACCTACATCCAAGATCACTCAATCCAGCAAAGCTATCGTATGTAGAACAGAGGGGCCCATAAAGTGCTTCCCAGACAAGGTAAATAAATCTAAAGGAGTTCATCATCACCAAGCCATTACTACATGAAATGTTAAAGTGGCTTATTTAAGCAAAAGAAGATCAAAACTATGAACATTAAGATAACAACAAATCCAAAAAACAAACTAAGCAAAGTACCACAACAGGAACAGGATCATAGATATGGTGATCATTTGGAGGGTTAGCAGCTGGGGCAGGGTAGAGGGAAGTTGTGGGGAAAGGTGCTGGTATTAAGAAGCATAATTGGTAGGTCCAAAATAGACAGAAGGACATTAACAATAGTGTGGGAAATAGAGAAGCTAAACAACTTATATACATGACCCATGGACATGAACTAAGAGGGTGGATTGCTGGGGGCAGAGGGGAAAAATTAGGACAACCAAAATAAAATATATTTTTTAAATGACCATAGTTAATATTCTGGTGCATGTTCTTCCACATATGCATTAGGGGTGATATATGAATATAGATTTAAAGCAAATTTTTTAATTCTGAGATTTCGAACTCTCAGCAGCTCTAAATGAGTGTGGAGGAGTTGTTCGAGCCATCACCTCTGCTAGAAATCTGGGTGCTAGGGAATTACCACATTTATTGCTGTTTTTAAGATAAACAGTTTTATTCTGAATTTCCTATATTTTAGTTCTAGCTCTTAGAACTAAGATACAGTTCTAAGTACTAAGCAGTTCTACCTTTACTAGCTTTGTCAATCTCACTGTACTTATGGTGGAGAGAAATCTGAGTAAATGAGAAAAAATAATGTAAACAGAGCAACTGCAAAATCTAGAGGCATACAAGATTTCTTAATTTTAAAAAATCAGTCTTTCATTTAACACAAGTATTTTGAGTAGCTTAAAGTTGAATGTGCTTGCATCTCTGCCCAGCAAAGCAAACTTTGTAGGAGAGAAGGCAGACACATAAACAATAGCATAGGATAATTCTTATAATAGAAAAATAACCAGGTGATGCCTTGAAACTAACGAGATGAGTATTAAGGAAAGTCAGTAGTGACTTTTGCATTGGGTTTGAAGAAATAGTAGGCATTTACCAGGTGGCTCTCAAAGTACTTGGGCAGTTCTTTTACTTAGCCTCAGATGATCTTACCTCTTGATCCACCAGAAAATAACATTCTGTGGGAATTCTTTCTTGCAAATGTATGTCTCCAAATCTCTACTTCCCTCTTTCTATATTCAGAAGAAGAGGTTTCTTTCTATTTAAGGCTGACCCCTTAATTCATACTCTATTCAGGATACCTTTTGTATCTTCAGCCAAGCTTAAGTCTTAAAACAAATGTTAAACCAGCAGTTGTCAGGGCGTGGTTGGGGTTCCTGAGTCTCATTCAAGAGGGTTCATAAGATCAAAGTCACATTCAGAGTAAAAGATTCAGAGTACAATGGATTGCAATGTGACAAAGTTCATTATATGGTTTCAAATTTCAGTTATATCTAAATTTTAAGAAATCAGCTCTAGTCACGTTTTAGTAAAGTATCAAAGAAATAGCTGCTAATTTGTGAAAAAGACTATTAGAATATTTCCCTTTCAACTCTGCATCTTTGTGAGGCTGGATTTTTTTCATATATGTCAACCAAAATAATATATTGCAGCAGATTAAATAGAGAAACAGATATGAGAATCCAGCCATCTTCTGTCGGGGTAAACATTAAGGAGATTTGCAAAACTGTAAAACAATGTCACTCTTCTGTTTTGAGGCAAATTTTAAAAACATTTTATTAAATATGTATGTTAACATGTAGTCTATTATTTTTTAACTTTCTCAGTGTCAATTTCTAATATAGTAAATATTTATAAATATAACCAACATAATAAGTTCTTGGAGTCTACAATAATATTTACGAGTGTAAAGGGTCTTAAAACCAAGTTGGAGACCTGCTGTTGGTCTCTCTCTCTCTCTCTCTCTCTCTCTCTCTCCCCCCTCCCTCTCCCTCTCTCCATCCCTCCCTCCCTCCCCCTTTCTTCTTATTCTTATTCCCTTCATAGTCAGATTTCTTGGAGAATGCATTTCCACCATTTACTCACTGCTCCACTACAACTATTCTTCAAGTCACCCAGTGATCTTCTGGTTCCAAATACTAACAGCAAAAGACCTTTTTTGCTTCTTTCATATTAACCTGGCCCCCTTGTAGAAATCTGCTACTGTCCTAGTTGTTTATTTTTACCTCCATGACTTATCAATACTTTTAAAACTTCTTTCTCTTGATTTCTTCGCATTCTGTACATTCAAGTAGGCAATTTTATATTTACTTATTTCTTCGACCAATTATCTATATATAAATACATGAGAATGCTCATATAGAAAGCACTCTTTATCTAAACCTCTCTCCTAAGCTCTTGTCCATATATCTAGCTAATGAAATATGATTAGGTTGAGGGCAGATAGACCTACTTAGATGTGATGGTCAAAGAAGGCAACAAATTCACAAATGTCAATAACTGAAACTAAAAAAAACAAACTAAGCAAACTACCAGAACAAGAACAGAATCATAGATCTGGAGATCGTTTGGAGGTGTATCAGCTGACAGAGGGAAAGGGGAAGTTGGTGGAAAAGATGCAGGGATTACTAATATATAGAGGCCTAAGATACAAGCAGAATTTTTGCTTCTTATCATGTATAGCGTCTGGATTTTGTACTACATGAATATATTCTTTACCCCCAAAATGAATTGTGTTGCATTTAAAAAATATATAGGGGAGCAGGAGAGTAACTGGTAGAAGAATACCTGGATCTATTTGTCTTGATTAATTAGAAGGAAAAGTAACCATCTGCTGAGAGCGAGAGACAGAGAGATCAAATAAAACCACATGTAGAGAGGTGAAGGTGTGAAATAGTCTCTAAGGACAATGAGTGAAGATGAGGAGAAGGATGAATGGCACCGCTGAAGGCTCAGTGGAAAAGGGGCCGCCATAAAAATTTATTCACACCAATGTACTCACTTGTTACCTAGTTCTCTACAATGGTATTCGGCAGTGCTGGTGTACAAGCGAAACTGTGAGATTTATCCCTAGCTGCAACTTCCTAGGGTGGGGTGGCAGAAGAAAGAAGGGACAGAAGAAATAAAGGTTCTGTCTAGAGAGCAGTCACGTTGGTGAACCACAGGGTTTGACTTAGAAAATGAATTGTGATCAGGCAGATCCAAAGGACTCAAAAACAAGTGGAAGAGTCAAGGAAGAGCATGTTATGAGAAAAGTTGGTGGACAGCCCATATCTTTTAATGGTACACAAATTATTTCAGGGTATATATATTTTTTACTTCTACCAAAGAGTGTTGCATAAATATTTAACAGAAATAAATACTAACTGATAAAAAAAATTTTAAGTTGAAAAATAAATCTCTACTATTAATAGATCTTATTCCTGAATATGTTCACAGGAATTTTCCTGAAAAAGTAAACTTTCTGCTTCTTTGTGTAAATTTCACTCAGAAAATGTCAGTGTAAGAAAAAAATATCCTTTAGTTTTTTGTTTTTTTTATTCCTATTATGGGTGGAGAAAGAAAGCAAGCCCATAGGATAGGCAAGTAAACCACAACTGTAATTTTTTTTAGGATATCAACTACAATTGTCTCTTAAACAATGCAAGAGTTTGGGGCACTGACACCTGTGCAGGTGAAAAATCTACATATAATTGTTGACTTCCCCCAAATTTAACTACTAATAACCTACTGTTAATCAGAAGCCTTACCGATAACAGAAACAGTTGGTTAACACATATTTTGTATATTATACCTTTGTATTATATAGTGTATTCTTGTAACAAAAAGCTAGAAAGGAGAAAATGTTAGTGGACCTACACAGTTCAAACCTGTGTTGTTCAAGGGTCAGCTGTGGTTGGCGTTGGACTGTTTCTTTCTTATGGTATAATCAGTTGTCAGCATTTCCTGTGTTACAGCAAAGAGTGATATATAAGCTTATGGATGCTGTCACTAAAGCTACTGTAAAGTTGTGATACGATTTTTTATATTATAGGAATAGAAGATGAACAAACCCATAACACCATCGACATATGTGCGCTGCCTCAGTGTTGGACTCATTAGGAAGCTGTCAGATTTTATTGATCCTCAAGAAGGATGGAAGAAGTTAGCGGTGGCTATTAAAAAACCATCTGGTGATGATAGATATAATCAGTTTCACATAAGGTAACATAAAATTCTTTCCCTTTTTAGATTCTTACTTCACAATCTAGAATGATTGATGGGTAGAAATGCTACCTAATACTGCATTCAGAAAACAAACCTGTCCAGGAGACACAATGGTAGTAAGGACCACCCCCCACTTTTTTGTGCAGTGTTTGCTGCATTCAGCAAGGCCAATGTTGTGATCTTGCAAATAAGGTTTGGGGTTGGAGTCAAGATTCCCACTTTTATTTCAGTTCTTTGTTTAGCAAGCCAAAGAATACAAGTTCACTCTTCTTCACACCTGTCATTTCCATTCTGAAGTAACATAGGAATATTATAAGAATTGCCAGCAAAATTCTAGAGCCTAAACTTCTATGTGTGTGAATCTCTAATTCACTTCAGCAGTGTGTTTTGATAGTTCAATTACACCTCATAGTTGTTTGTCAATGTATACATCTAGGAACGGAATTTTTAGTTCTTAACCAGGATTTTTTGGTACTATTTTCAAATGATTTCTATGTTTTTAAGTATTTTTTTAATTTTAATTTTTTATTTTAGAGAAGGAGAGAAACATCAGTGTAAGAGAGAGCTTGGATTGGCTGGCTTCTGCATGCACCCCAGGCATGTGCCCTGACTGGGAATCAAACCTGTGACCTTTTGGTTTGCAGGACGATGCCAAACCAACTGAGCCACACCAGCGGGGCACATAATTTCTGTTCTTTCTCTCTATGCATCTCTGTTTGATTTAGTGTAAAGTATAAGTGCAAATTTTATTTTTGTTGGTTTTTTTCCCAGCTCAAACCAAGGTCAAAGTCTGCCTTTTGAAACAAGAGGAAAAGAAATATATTTGTGATTTTCAGCATTAACCTGATAAGGAACCTAGAACCGTAGCTTCCGTCAAGGAAATGTTTCCTCACATGAGGGTTGAATGTCTTAAATTGCTTCGGAGGAGCTTAAGTTTAAAGCTTGAAAGCCTATTTTTAAAGATAGTTTATTGATATTATTATTAAAAACTTTTGGAGGAAAGTCGAAGCAGTGGTAGTAGGGAGAAAAAAACTCTTCTGAGCATAATAATTGCAGCAAATAATTATTGAAAGAATGATAGAATCCTGACCAGTGTGGCTCAGTTAGTTGGGGGTCATCCCACAAAGTGAAGGGTCACCAGTTCAATTCCCAGTCAGGCACAAGCCTGGATTGTGGGTTTGGTCTCCAGTCTAGAGTTGCACAAGAAGCAACTGATCAAGGTTTCCCTTTATATTACATAATACATAATATATCTTTCCTTCTCTTTCTCCATCCCTGCCCCATCTCAAAAAATATATAAATAAAATCCTTTTTTTCTTTTAAGAAAGAATAGTAGAATTAGAAAGTTACCAATTTACAATCACCAGTGAGGAACTGATTCATGCAAGGCTCATCAGTTAGTGCTTAAACATCACTAAGTGAAAGGTGATTGGTGAAAAATATTGCACAAGATTTGAAAGTATCATCCACAGGGTACTTACAAATTATGAAAGGGGAATAGAGAACTTTATACAAAGATAAAATACCTCAAGCACATCTTCTTAACAAAGTAATCAGACTTTGTGGCGTCAGTAATGATCCAGACTGCCATTATGCACCTCCAGACGGGATGCACACACACACAAACGGACATGGAGAGTGAGAGCACGAGAGCACAGATATGGCTGAATATTATCAGTTGCTCAACTGATGAATCTATGTGAAGATTAAATGGTTGTTCATGGTATTATGTTTTCAACTTCTCTGTAGGTTTGAAATTTTTCAAAATGGCCCTGGCTGGTGTGGCTCAGTGGATCGAGTGCTGGCCTGCAAACCAAAGGGTCGCCAGTTCAGGTCTCAGTTCGGGCACATGCCTGGGTTGCAGGCCAGGTTCCCCACTAAGGGGTGTGTAGGAGGCAACCACACATTAATGTTTCCCTCTCTCTCATTCTCCCTCCCCGCCCGTCTCTAAAAATAAATAAAGTCTTTTTTAGAAAAACAAAATTAAGAGAAGAAAAACTTGTTTTTAAATATCCTTCAGAACTAATTTTTACCTATTTAATTGTTTTGAGGATGTTTATGAGTTTATTGAGCCAAACTGATGACGGATGCTGGGAAGCAAGATCTCAAATGCTACCCTAACACTAATTTTTAAAGAAGTAGACATAAAAACTAATCTGTGTTTTTCTTTTAATTTAGTTGAAATATAGTTAAGATCAAAGGAAAAATGATCCAAGTTTACATATATTCTATTACTTTAAGCACACAGGTTTGTTAAAAATTATATGGCTAGCCAAGTTAACATCACATAGGGAAGTAATATGGCTTAGTAGGTTGAGAACATACTGTAATGCCGAGTGAAATCTGATTTTGGATCCCAATTTAGATATAGCTTATGGGTGATGTGGCTATTAGATTGGTCCCTGTACCTCCTCATGCCTTGATTTCTCATTATTAAATTACTGTGTTATTCGTAGCCCTTTAAGGATAAAGTGGTTCACATGGGTATGTCCTGTAGCCCACTGAGCAAATACTCAGTACGTACTCAGTATGTGTTAACATATTATCATCACCTTCTGCATCTTTTTCCTCCCACCCGTCTTTCCTAATGTCTGTAGCTCTTGCTGGTTTTCTTTTTTTTTAAGATTTAAAAAATTTATTTTTAGAGAGAAGGGGTCAGGGTAGAGAGAGGAAGAAAAACATCAGTGTGTGGTTACCTCTTGCCCTCTTCCTACTCGGGGTCTGCCTGCGACCCAGGCATGTGCCCTGACTGGGAATCGACCCCATGACCCTTTGGTGCCCAGGCTGGCACTCAGTCCACTGAGCCACACCAGCCAGGGTTTCTTGCTGGTTTTCCTATTGCTCCTTTTCTTCTTTAATTTAGTTGAAATATAGTTAAGATCAAAGGAAAAATTATCCAAGTTTATGTATATTCTATTATTTTAGATTTTTTTAAGATAAAGGTATTCCCTTTATCTTTATATTCCCTCTTTAAAAGGGAGAAACAGATGGGGGAATGATTTCTATTTTCATGTTAACTCTGTTTACATAGTACTTTTGTTTCTTTGTTACTTGCTTTTAAGGCGATTTGAAGCATTACTTCAAACTGGAAAGAGTCCCACCGGTGAACTGCTGTTCGACTGGGGCACCACAAATTGCACAGTTGGTGATCTCGTGGACCTTTTGATCCAAAATGAGTTCTTTGCCCCTGCGAGCCTTTTGCTACCAGGTAAACTCAGTGTGACTAAGGCATCAGCAATGAAGCTGGAAAGATAAGTAGCAGGAATAGGACTATTTCTTCTTACTCATACTCTTTTCCCATAGCAAATGAACCTGACCTTGAGATTCCTTTTATCCTTTCAACTCTCCCCAGCTCTTAACAGGTACCCCAGACATAGGGCCCCACAGACTTGCTTGCTGCTAAGGAGATGGAGGCTTCGTGACTGAGTCTGATCCCACCATTAAAGTGGGTAGTTTTGTGCCAATAAGTAGTTTAAAGCAATGGAAATGTGTGTTGTTACGGGGATTTTTTGAACTCGCTTTTTTTCACCGCCAACTTCCACCCCAATGGGACTTGAAAGAATTTCCCTACACTGTGTGTGGGTGGGTTAGTTTCTTAGTACCTTCCTCATAACTTTACATTTTCCCTTTGATGTCATTTCTACCGGTGGTTCTCACCCTTTGGTGCACATAAGAATCGTCTGGGATTTCTGTAAACAGGTAGCTTCCTGGGCTCTCTTACGGACATCGTCATAATTCTGGGCTTCAAGGTCTGTGTTTCTAACCAAGTGCTTCAGTGCTTCTGATGCAGGTGGCTCATAAACCACTTTTTGAAAACACTGCCTTACCCATCTTTAACAAAACAGAATTCCTACTAGGTAGTTTCTCGTGTGTGCTGTGAGAATATGGAGCTAACATGGAAATTGGAATGATGTTAAATGAACCAAGTTCCTGGTATAACCTGTTCACAAACACTTTTTCTATGGTTGGACAATTTGTATCTTCATTTGGCAGACGCTGTTCCTAAAACTGCTAATACACTACCTTGTAAAGAAGCTGTAACAGTTGAGCAGAATCAGAGTCCTCTCTATGGCCAGGACAGGACATCTGGGATACCTGTGCGGAATCCTGAACAAAATTATATGCCACCCGATTCCTCAAGTCCGGAAAGTTTAGAAGTTAGTGATACACGTAAGTAACACTTGCAGTGCATTCCTTCAGTGTAGTGATTTTCAGCCAGTGTGTTGCAAGAATTTTTAAAACATGCAATACCTGACTATAAGTCAGGGGCACTGACCTCTTTTCCTTAGATTGTCAAATAAAAAAATGGCAACAGCCAATACAACAATGTCTATCTAGTATAAATGAATCACAATTATCTCTACTGTTGGTCATATGGGAAAAAAATTTTTTTTTGGTGTGTGCAGAATTTTAATAATTAGATGAGATGAAAAGGGTTAAGAATCGCTGTGCTGGTGGTTTGTCATTGAGACCATTACTGCTAAAAACAAATTTCTCCTCTTGTTCATGCACACCAGCAAAAGCTCCTTTGTGTTTTTTCCACACTGACTTATTAGGCACCATTTTCTTCATATATCAGTGTGTAGATCAGAGTAGAGGCAATAAGCAAACATTTACATAACTTGAAAGAATTATTTTATAAAGCAAATAAGTGACTAAAATTTTTATTTAACAATGGTGTTCCTCTCTCCTATTGTACCTAATCCAAAGTAATATTTAAATATAAAATATTTAAGTTGAGAAAATACTATTATTATGGAAACCAGTTTTATTTTTATTGAAGCAGTTTTTTCCTTACTTCATTGACATTCCAGGTTTTCACAGTTTTTCATTTTACGAACTGAAGGATGTCACCAATAACTTTGATGAACGGCCCATTTCTGTGGGTGGTAACAAAATGGGAGAGGGCGGATTTGGCGTTGTGTATAAAGGCTACGTGAACAACCGAGCCGTGGCCGTGAAGAGGCTCGCAGCTGTAAGTTACACTTTCAGGAATCAAAGGTTTTAAAGAACAAATTACTTCCTAGTGTGCTGTGTAACAAGTTTTGAAGTAATCTTTAGGAAATACGTTGTTTCAGTGCATAAGCATCATTATATAAGCATCATTCTAAGCTGCTAGTTTCTAACATTTAAAAATCTGTTGAAAGCGATGGTCCTATCCCTACAAAAATGTGGTTATGCAAACATATGTACAATGAGACATACAGTTTTTGGAGATTCACAAAATAAAGCTGAGAACCCTCGCTTTACACTGTGATTCATTCATAATCAAAATTAAAATAAGATACTAAAAATTTTTATGAAAATAACTTGCATATTACTTCCTCATTTAAAAATAAAGCTTATTTGTCTTAATAAACATTAAGAAAAAATGGAAAAAATTCTTATCTATATCTTTTGTTCCTGTTCCTATCAGGGTATTCACCTTTTACTTATTGATTTGTTATATTCTAATAATATCAAGATAATACATATTTATATGATAGTCACCCTCTTATACATACTAAAAATACTTTTATAGGTTTTATTTTTCTTTTTGCCTTGAAGTTAGCATATGTTTTCTGCTACACAGAATTATTTTTCAAAATGTTTATGCAGTGAGTCATAGTATTTTTTTGTTCCTACAATAACTCAGTGGGTCGTATATGGTCATACAGTTTTTAGATTTTTTTTTTCTTCCACTAACCAGCCATGGGACCTAGAGCAAGTCACTAGTATTTCTAGTTCTCAGTTGTTTCTTAAAATGGTAAGAATAACGCCTTATTATTTTAAGGAAAGCAGCATCAGCCAATAGATCTCTTGAGCCACATTCTGTCATTGTTGCCTTAGGGTTATTGAATTGCGTCATATTGCATACATTTTATTTTTTCAGGTGGTTGACATTAGTACAGAAGAACTGAGACAACAGTTTGATCAAGAAATAAAAGTAATGGCAACGTAAGTTAATTTGGCAGTGGGGTGGGGTGGGAAAGATCAGGGCAAAGAGTGAGGGCCCTGGTTTCCTTCCCAGAGTGTGCCGTGAACTAGTGGTGGCCTCAGATAAAAGCAAATGAACTGAAGGGCTTGGGTTAGAGGAACTGAAAGCACTTCGACTACAGTCTATGACTCCATGTGCACATATGCCTGTAGATTAAACGGCAGTCATTACTTTAATCATAGCAAAGTTACATGGAACTTCAACTCTCTTCCATGATCATGTTTTCCATTCCCAGAATGTATGAGAGATAGATTCTAGAGATACAAAATAAAATGTATGGAATAACAGGCCCTGAGATAAATATAAGTTAACACCCGTAAACCAGGAAAGTCTTATGTGCAAGAATGCAGGGAAGGCACTGACCCAGTAGGCTTGAAAATAGTTGGACATCATCAGGAACAGTAACAGAAGCAAATTAGGAAATTCATTGTAACAATTATAATAATTGATACCTGAATGGGTACAATATACCAGACACTGTGCAATATATGTTATGTGCATTTCCTCATTTAATCCTCACAGTAATTGTTATGATGCGCCAATGTCAAACTCCCCCAGCCCACCGAACATTATTTTCCCACTGAGGTTTAGAAAGATTAAGTAACTGTCCCAAATAAATAGCCAATAAATAGTAGGTCTGGGTTTCAAATCCAGATCCGTCTGATTTCAGAGCTTGAGCTTTACATATGAATTCTCATTAGACCCATTGCTATAAATCACTAATTCTAGTTGTTTAACCTCAAGAAAGAAATAATAGACTGAAATTAATTTATTCACAGTAAAAATAATGCATACTGACAAGAAAACATAAAACTTGCACAATTTGTTCTCCCTACCTCTATTCCCACTCTCCAATCCTAAACATATGTTTTTCAAATAATAAAAATAATCTCTTAACTTTTTCACTGAGAGATAATCACCGCTAATAGTGATATACTTTCTTGATATGTGCATAGCATTTCCCCGTGTCATTAAAAATAATTTTAAAACATTTAAAATTATTATATACAATTTTAGCATAGATGAGAATTGTATTTTATTTATTTACCTGCAAGGTTTGTTTCTGATTTTCAATATTACAAATTAAAGCTTCTTTAACTTTGTTGGTGTTTGATATTATACATGAATCTTTCAATGCAACTCTGCTTATTTCATCAGGGCAGAGTCCTAGAAGAATTACTGCTTCAGAATGCATGACCTTTTTAAAGACTTGCCAAGGATATGTCCAGATGGCCTTATAGATAAGTTATGATAGATAATACTCCTACCAACAATGTATTACATTGTCAAACTTCACTGCTATCTCATCACCATTGAATAGTGGTACTATTTTTAAATAAATTCCAATCTGGGGAACTTATTAGCAGAATGACCTTAGCTGTGTTTCTTAACTCTCTACCCATTAGTTTTCTCTTCTATAAAATAGAATAATAGTTCTTACTTCATTATGTTATTGTGAGGAATAAATAAATGAAGCAGGTAAATTACTTAACTATAGTGCTTTATATATAGTATAAACCTACCAAATGTTATCTGCTCACACCTAAAAATGTGCCAGTTTGCTGGAACATGGAGCACTTGTCATTTTAATTTTCACTTTACAAAATATTTGTGAGGGTAGACTGATTTCACATCAAATCAAGTCAGAATCTGATTTGAAATAATGAAATGCCAGAATTATAGATCATTTTGAATGAAAAAATGAGTAAGCACTTGGATGGAATACTTCTTATGTTCTAGGTCATTTCTAGGCTGTCATATATTTGCTCATCTGGTTCTCGCAGCACCCATGTTACACAGGAACTATTATCCCCATTTAGCAGGTAAATTTGCTGAGGCTCAGGGAGTTGTTCATTTGCTATAGTCCACGTATACGGGAGGGGGCAGATCTGGGCTTCAAACTCGGGTTTTTGAACACTTAGCCCAGTTTTCTTTCTACCATATCACAGGTGTCTTTTGTTATACTTAAAACTCTCTTTAGTTTTTCACTCTTAAGTACATAAAGAAACTCAGGTTATAAATAATCAGATAGGATTAAATATCAGAAATGTGTAAATTAGATATGATTAAAAATCAGATATCTGTAAATCAGTGTTTTTGATGCATTAGAGTATACTTGAAAGGGTTGTCGTACAAGTTTCAACAGACTTCTCGAAATCTTGTTTGTGCTATAATTGAAAATTGTGCTAAACAAAGGTAAACATCATCCTAGTCTTTAAACTATCACAAGTTCCAGTGGTTTGAATTGCCGAGCTTTTACTATAAAGTAGAAGAGGATTTGCTTCTAAGTTGATCAAAATTGACTAAAAGGAGAACTGTTTGCAGAAAATAATTAAGTTATAATAAACACATATCCTACTAAAATGATATTATTTTCTTGTTTTTCTGTTAAAGCTCTAAACTGAATAACTCACAACCTACAGCTGAATACATGTATATATCATAATAATTTTGAGTGGAAAATTTTGTCCCAGGTGCCAACATGAAAATTTAGTAGAACTACTTGGTTTCTCAAGTGATGGAGACGACCTCTGCTTAGTGTATGTGTACATGCCTAATGGTTCATTGCTAGACAGACTGTCTTGTTTGGTAAGATGTTTGTTCATCAGACTTTTGGCTTTCTGTTTCTTTGTTGGATACTAATACTTACTTTGTAACAGGATCACTTAAACTGCACTAACCTTAATATTTTTCCTCTCTATGAAAATTATACAGTTGATATATTTAAAAATGGGATTGCCATTCTATTAGGTGATAATATAAAATATAAAATATTACTCAAGGCTACACTTTGAAGATGCTCTTACATACTTTTATTGTCAAAGAGAAGTGCTAACCCCCATGTAAAAGTTGCTTAGAAAAATTCTCTAAGAAAATTTTTATGTGTCTCTATAGATGTTTTTTCTATAGATATTTTATGTGTTTTCTATAGGTATTTTTCTCCTCCAATTTTCTAACTGGTTTGTTTCTTGCTTCATAAGAATGACACTCCACCACTCTCCTGGCACATGAGGTGCAGGATTGCTCAAGGTGCTGCTGATGGTATCAGTTTTTTGCATGAGAACCATCAAATTCATAGAGATATTAAAAGGTAAATGCTACATTTGGAAAACCATCTTTAAAGAATAAATTTGCTCTCCCCCTTTCTATTCACCGTGCGCATGCATGTCTTAACCCAGAGCACTCCGAGACTGTAGACGTCCTTTTTCTCCCCATTGCTCTGCCTTTGTTCGCACCCTCTTTTTCTGCCATCGCTTTCATTACCAACCCTCCTGCTCAGCCTTTAACCTGTCTGTACCAGTACTCACCTGTTCACTGCTACATTGCCAGGTTATGGCCCTAAAAATCAGCCATGGATACCAGTTTCTTCAAATTGGTCACATGTTTTTATGTTTTAATAACTATTACATGTTGCCTGAAATGCCTTTCTCTCTCATATAACCATCAACCTATAATAATCACTCAAGACTAAATATGTTTTTCCTTGGAATTTTACAGTTCTTTCAGTCATGCAGTTGTTGTCTCTGCACTTTTGTACCTAGTATATCACCTTGATGGAGTACTTACTGGATTTTTTAAAATTGTGCATGTACTTTTGTGACATACAAGATTTGAAGGGTTCTCCATGCCCAGCACTGAACTTAAATACTATAATACAAAGGGAGGCTTCAATAAATTTGTGGAATGAAAGTATATGAGCAAATGCATATAACGAAGGGAGATTTTTTAGCTATATTCCTTCCTCTTCAAAGGATTTCAGATAGCACAAAAGAATCAAGAACTGAATAATTGAGATAGTTGGTTTAGAAATTTGTTTCTGAATGATCTTAGAAATGTTCGGAAAGGAATTAACAATGGTACTTTAGGAGACTGTAAGGGAAATGATCCTGTAATAAATTACTTGTGAAATAATGAAAATATCTCTCACTAATGTGAACAATATTATTTCATTTTTATTTTCCTAAAATTTCTTCTCAAGAAACAAAAAAGTCATTTCTCTTGAGATTAATCTGAAATCTAGATTTATTTACACACTGTTCAGGCTTTTAGGACGTATATTGGGGAGGCCAAAAAGTTCATTTGGTTTTTTCCATAAAATGACTGTACTAGTGCTTAGTTGTCTTTAACTTCATTTGAAACAGTTTTGTCATGTTGTATTATGACAGCTGTCATATCAGCATGCAATAAAAAAAATCAAAATGGATGAATTTTTGTGTAGCCATTCTAATATTGAAGATGGAAGAAAATACACAACATTTTTGGCATACTACGCTTTATTATTTCAAGAAAGGTAAAAAGGTGCCTGAAATGCAAAAAAGATTTGCGCAGTGTAAGGAGAAGGTGCCCTGCACCCCTTGTGACTGACCGAATACGTCCCAGGTGGTTTGTGCAGTTTCGTGCTGGAGATTTCTCTCTGGATGATGACACTTCATGGTCAGGTGGGCCAGCTGAAGTTGACAGTGATCAAATGGAGACAGTCACTGAGAACAGTCAACACTGTATCACATGGGAGAGAGCTGACATACTCAGAATATCCAAATCAATGAATTTATTGGTGAAAATGAAAAACATGTCTTTTACAGAAAAAACTAAACAGACTTGTTGGCCAACCCAATATTATAACATGGAATACTTATATATATATATATATATATATATATATATATATATATATATATATATATGTGTGCGTGTGTGTGTGTGGATGTGTATATGTATATATGTGTATATATATATATATATATATACACACACACACACATACACTCATTCATACACCTATTTAAGGAACCATTTGACTTGTCTGAAGAGAAAAACATTTTCTCTAAACTTTACCTTTTTTCAGTGCAAATATCTTACTAGACGAAGACTTTACCGCCAAAATATCCGACTTTGGGCTTGCACGGGCTTCTGAGAAGTTTTCACAGACAGTCATGACTAGCAGAATTGTGGGAACAACAGCATATATGGCACCTGAAGCTTTGCGAGGAGAAATCACACCCAAATCTGACATCTACAGCTTTGGTGTTGTACGTTTCATATATATAATCGGTAACAATAATCACTCTTGTAATACTGGTAATTATGAAATTGAAGTAGAACATTTTGAATTCACCTGTCTTGCTTAACTCTGTAAATTGTTCACTTTAACCTTTAGTTAAATGAGAACATTATAAAAACTTCTTCAACTTTGTAAAGCTTTTGTATTGATTTCTGAACTTACTGCGAATGATTTTTTGGCCACACTATCCTCAGGAGTTAGTATGAAACGTAAATTAAATCAGTGCATAAAATAAACCATGTCATATAGTATGCACCTAATGCCATATTTAAAAAATATATTTTTGAAAGGAAATATGCTTTCACACTCTCTAATGTATCAGTCTCTTCCTGACAACTTTTAAGATGGAATAAGGAGTGAGTGTGGGTGGTTGGAGAAATTAGTGCTTCTTCATCTTGTTTTTTCTTATGTTTTCTATAAGGAAATTTAACTTCATAACATTGTGAATGTAAGGCTCAGGGTTGTAGGATATTCCTGAAGTTTAGAAAATAACACTCTCCCAAGAGCCAGAGAAAATTAATTCTTCTGAACAATTCCCTGCAAAACTGGAAAAGGAATGTCCAGAACACATGTTGAGTGGAACTGATTGTTTAGTAAGTTGCCAACAGGAAAGAACTGCTGGTGGGGGTGTCCTGGAAAGAACGGGTGAGAGACCACAGCTCATGTTCTTTCTGCTTCAATTAGTGCCTAAAAGACACAATGCAGTATGTGGAAATGATTCATCAGATTTCATAATCAATTCATATGCCTGCTAATTTCTGCATGTTGTCTTGATTGTTACATTAATGGATGTGTTGTTTTTTGTCTTCATAGGTTTTACTAGAAATAATAACTGGACTTCCAGCTGTGGATGAACACCGGGAACCTCAATTATTGGTAATTGAAAGATTCATTTTTGCCAGTCCTTTCCTCTTTGCATTTATAATCTAAATCTATATGGGTAAATTTGGCAATCAGAACTGTCATTTTCTGTTGGCAATTACATAGTGCTATTTGGAAAGAACATCAACTATTTCCAGTCTCAGCTCTTCCACGAAGTATTTGTGAAGCTTGGAAAAGTCATTTATAGCTTTTGTATTCTAGTTTTTTGTGCGTGTGTAAATCAGAATAGAACTGTATGATTTCTGAGGTTATCTCCATATTTTTATGTTACTTTCAGAGTGATTACTAACTGCCTTTTTATTTCAGATAGAAGAAACCAACATGGCTTCCTTTCAAATTTGTATCAGAATGGCATTCCTAGCAGAATTCTTTATCCATTTCTATTATGGAATATTTTACTGATAAAGTTATAGAAAACATCACCTATGGGTTATATTGAATGCTAAAGCTATTGGAAAATTATTCCAAGCCCCATTTTTTTCTATTTAGTAAACTTTAAGAACTTAGAGGATCTTTTTATAAAATTGAAGAATTACGGAAATATGTGCTATCATATATAAGGTTTTCTTAAAATTGATTAAGTAACTTAGATGAGTTTATTAGAATTTATGTGTTCTAATGGGACAAACCAGTGTGACAGACAATATGTGTCTGAATTAATAATAATAATAAATATATCCTCAGGTAAGGATTAAAAAAATTAGGCAAATGAAAAGTGCCTAGGAGATATGTATTTATGTATGTATCTTAATAAGGTTATAAAAGTAGAAAGTAAAATAAGAGTACATGTTATTAAGTAGATTAAATAATTAAAATTTGTGTTCTGACTTTGTCGCTTGCATTGAAACTAGAAGTTTTAACACTTATTTTGAAGCTAGATATTAAAGAAGAAATTGAAGATGAAGAAAAGACAATTGAAGATTATATTGATAAGAAGATGAACGACACTGATGTCACTTCCATTGAAACTGTGTACTCTGTTGCTAGCCAGTGTCTGCACGAAAAGAAAAATAAGAGGCCTGACATTAAGAAGGTATTAGTGTTTCACACTTACTTAAAAAGTGCAGGAGGTGGGGTTTGTCATTTTTTTTTCTAAGTGTACATTTCAAACCAACTATTTAATGTGGTTCTTTCTGTTTTTTCTGTCTTTCCTTCTTCGTGAAAGGTTCAACAGCTGCTGCAAGAAATCACGGCTTCTTGAAACTTTGGTAGAGTAGACTTTGGCTTTTTATACACAGCTATCAAAACCATTTTTTAAACTAAATTTTTGGTAAGCATTCTTCTTTACCTTTAATAAGACAGCATGGTACAGTGCAGTACTGTGGTTCTTAAAGGACACGTGGAACCCCAAACAAACGAAAGCAGAGCTGCCATTTCAATGCTTAGCCCTCCCTTCTTAGAGTTGCCCTCAGTTCTTGCAGTAATCCCCGAGACATCTTCTTGGAGCTTCATCACACACACTTTGAAAACTACAGTATTAACAAAACAGAGGACTGGACTATTGAACGAAAAGACCCTGAGCTGAAGCCCAGCTCCACTACTAATTTTCTGTAAAGCTGTGGGCAGTCTCTTAGTTGCTTTCCGCCTTGGTTTTTTCACCTGTAACACTGGACTAATACTTACTGTGCCTCTCTGGCAGGTAGTCATGCAAATCAAAGGATGCAACATGTTTGCAAGTACTTTGTACTTTATAAAGTGATATAAAATTTAACATTTATATAGATGATTATAAAATTTTACTACAGTCATTGGTTTATTGAGTCATGTTTACAGTGTACTGTTTTAAGCAATCATTCACCACAAGCCAAATAAACCCACATGAGACTGCCACAATATGTCCATAATTAATTAGATTATGTACCATGGCAAAGTTGATAGCATTTTGCAGATGCAGTTAAGGTTCCTAATCAGCTGACTTTGAGTATCAGCAGGGAGACTGTGCTGGGTGGGCCCGATCTAATAAGGTGAGCTCTTACAAGACATCTAAGACATCCTTGTGTGGGCCTTAAAGAAGGGACCTACCATGTTTTTAAGGCCACATTGGCTAAGACCTAAGGGTGGCCTCCAGGAAATGAGAGCTACTTTCTGGCTGTCAGCCAGCAACACAAACTGGGACCTGGGATGTGTAACCACGAGAAACTGAATTCTTCCAACAGCTTAAATTAGCTTAGAAAAGTACTCCAGACCTCAGACGATACCATAGCTCCAACTGACACCTGAATTTTGGCCTTGTGAGACCCTCAGTAGTGAATCTGGCTGAGCTGTGCCTGGACCTCTGACACACAGGACTGTGACATAATAAATGAGTTGCTATAAGCCACTGAGTTTGTGGTGTTATCATGCAGGTACAGAAGATGCATACAGGTATTCCCAAGATGATTCTCCCACGGTGATAGCTCATCATGTTCTGCCCACACTCAAGGGGTTGATGGGGATTAAACAGTGTGTACACCGGGTGGTTGAAGTGCAGTGATTTACACTGGATTTCTCAAGTCTGCTCACTCCCTCCTCTTCCATTGTTTTTTACTACAGAGAGTGAGACCTTTGGACAGTAGTGAAAAATTGAATTTTTAAGTGACTTTTAACTATTTCTCCTAAGTTTAAGAGTCTTTATTGGATTTTTTATGATTTGAAAATTATTTTTCAGCCTTGAGTGAGCAGAAGGAATTTATTTAAGCATGAAAACTGGCTGATAGAAAAACTAATATATAATAATAGAAGGAATGCCAAGTGTCTGCAGTCATTCATTCATTCACTCATTCACTGAGCTTTATATCTTTAGTTCTTTCATTAACACACTCAGAACAAGAGTTTGTACAGTGGGCTACAGGAGAAGATGCTCAGTCTCTATATTGCATTGTTTAGGCCTTCCTAAATGCTTCCCTGAGAAACAAAAATTGCATATTGTTCTAGTCACTTTTGGAAACTAAGTATTTAAGCAGAAAGAAACATGTGCTAGTTGAAAAGGGAAAAGGAAAATAAGCAAAATGACTTAGATTAATCTCAATGGGAACCCACATAATTGGAGGCACAGTATGATCTATAACACAACATAGTTATGTTATTTTAAAATATAAGTAACTGTTTCCTGCAATAGAAGCATTTATTTAAAATGGCATATATATAGCTCTGATTATGGAATGTTCAAACTATATTCACATTTTTAAAAAGAGCAAACCATTTCATGGATGTTGAAAGTTTCACAGTATTTTTTGGTAGGTGTTTTCGTCCCATCAGGTGGAACTGAGAGCAGATTTATCCAAATTAGACACAGCTTCCCTCTCCCAGTAAGACTGTGCTTCAACTCTGGAGGGTGACAATGCAGCGCATCCACGATCCCACAGTGTTAACCACACTGTTCCATCTGTCTGCCTGACTGTGCCCGTCACATTGTGGACCGCTCCACTTGCGTGACACACGCACCTGTGGGAGCGAACAGCAGAGGGGTGTCCTCAGCTCACACGTGAACAGGACTTGCCCTCAAGTTCTGAGGAGAATCTTGTCCAGGATACATGCACCGCTTCCCTCAGGCGGGAATGAAAAGCCTGAGGTGGCATCTAGTTGAAGCTTTTTCTTAACTTCTTTGGGGATATGCTTCCTCCTAATTTTTTATAGAAACAAAAATTTAAATGGATATTTGAAAAAAAACCTTGACGGGTTTTGCAGGCTTTGATGTGAGCTGGTAACGCCGCCTCCAGCAGCTGACCGTGCAGACTGATGAATGGGTCACGGCAGCACAGTGGGGAAGCACCCACCGACCCCTTACCTGGAAGGGCAACCTGTTTTTATTGCTGCATTTGGCCCATTGGCTTGCTAGTTGGCTAACTCAAACTTTTAAATTCTATTTTCTCTCTATATGTTCTATGAGGAATAATTAGTCAATGTTTTGTTTTACTTCTCCAGTATATAATTAAGAGAAACTTAAGATATTCTAAAGCATTTATTGCTCTGCCCACTTTTTGGTTCTGTAGCCATACAAAATGGCCCTAGATTTCAGCCATGCAGAGTCCTGTTATTCACTCTCAAAATAAGCATATAGCTTTTATTTTACAACTTTATTGTATCGTACCTGATAAATAAAAATGGAACTGGATTGGCCAAAAAGTGTTTTTTTCCAAAAAAGGCTCAAGTATAACTTAGTTGCCTTTAATGTCATTGGAAACAATTTTGTTACATTGTATTGTGTAGCTGTCACATGTACATTTAAAAAAACATCAAAATGGGTGAATTTTTGTGTAGCCATTTTAATATTGAAGATGGGAGAAAATATGCAACATTTTCGGCATAGTCTGCTTTATTATTTCAAGAAAAGGTAAAATGCAACTAAAACGCAAAACAGGTTTGTGCATTGTGTGGAGAAGGTGCTGTGACTGAGTATGTCAACTCGGTTTGTGAAGTCCTGTGCTGGAGATCTCTTACAGGACGATGCTCCACAGTCAGGTAGACAGACCGGTTGAAGTTGGTAGCAGTCAAATAGAGACATTAATTGAGAACCATCAATATTATATCACATGAGAGATAGCCAACATACTCAAAATATCCAAGTCAATAGTTATTGGTGAAAATGAAAAAAGTGCCTTTATTTTATGGAAAAAAACATGGACTTCTTGGTCAACCCAATATGTATTTACAGTGTTCAGCAACCTGATGGCTTGTTATGTGGATACACTGGAATGGTTACCATAATCAAGCTAATTAAAAAATCCAGCACCTCAGAGTCACTTTTATTCTTTTTGGTGAGAACACAAGATCTGTTCGCTTAGCAAATTTCAAGTATACAAACCGCACAGGTGGCAAACACCAGGCCTGTGGGCTGAATCCAGCCTCCGCCTTATTTTACCCGGCCCAGCACCTTGTTTCCACCTGGGGGCAGTGCTGAGCTCTCCCTTAACTGTTGAGGGTAGTTGTGTTTATTCAGTCCTAAAATAACATTCCGCCCTTTGAAGGCAACCAAAAGGCTGATGTGGCCCCTGATGGAAATGAGTTTGACACCCGTGCAATACAGTGTTATTAACTATAATGACCATGGTGGACATTTGATCCCAAGACCTTACTCATCCTATAACTGAATGTTTAATACCTTTTGACCATCCTTTCTCCAAACCCCTGTAAAATGTGTACTGTTCCACTACAAGATAGAAGTAGCTTGTTAATCATTCAAATTCAAATCTCAGAAACGGTCAATATGGAGGCAATGGCAGTAAATCTTCAAAATAAATGCCATTTTAGCCCTGGCTGGTGTAGCTCAGTGGATTGAGCACAGGCCTGTGAACCAGAGGATTGCAGTTCAATTCCCAGTCAGGGCACATGCCTGGGTTGCAGGCCAGTTCCCAGCAGGGGACGCACTAGAGGCAGCCATACGTTTATGTTTCTCTCCCTCTCTCCTTCCCTTCCCCTCTTAAGATAAATAAATTTAAAAAATGCTATTTTATTCCTCTGATGAAATTAGGAAAAATAATCTTACAAACTAATCTGATCTAAAAAATTAATAAATGATTCAGCAGATATAAAAGGACTCGATACACAACAGTCCTTATTCTCAAAGAGCTTATCAGGAGAGTCTGTTCAGATGGAGATGCTAATTTGTAAGTAAAGAAGTTAGACAATATCAGTTTGTGACAAGTGTTAATGAAACATTAAACTATGTATAGTGAAAGGGGGATTCCCTTGGCTGAGAAGCTTTAACAACATTTAAGCTTCAAAAAAAAAAAGGTGACAGAGGGGAGGGGTTCCCTGGTATAGCTCAGTGGATTGAGTGTGAGCCTGTGAACCAAAGGGTCACCAGTTCGATTCCCAGTCAGGGCACATGCCTGGGTTGCGGGCCTCAGTATAGGGTGCTGGAGAGGCAACCACACATTGATGTTTCTCTCCCTCTCTCCCTCCCTTTCCCTGTCTAAAAATGAATAAAATCTTTAAACAAAAAGGCTACCAGTATATAATCTTAAGAATGCCTAGAATAAAACTGAATTTTAAAAAAAGAAACAAAAAACAAAATGAATCAAGTTTTATTTGTATCTTACTGGTGTTATCTGAGCCCTTTACGTCAGCAGTGAGCTAAGAACAAGACTTTGTCATAATGTTTCTGCTACTGCCCTGGGGAAAGGAATATCGTGTTCCAGATTATGTCAGACAGTTTCCTCCGCTGGCTATTTATGCATCAGGGTAGTTGGTGAAATTTTTGTGAAGGTCATCTGATCTGTTTTCCTTACACTAGCTCCATGCTTCTATAGAGGCTTTTTAGTTTGGGTTTCTTATTTCTCGCCTGGCTTTGCCTTTAGAAGATAATGCAGTGTGACAAAAGGGGTGAAAACTATTACAACTACGTATCAGTTTCTATTGCAGAGTTTATCTTTTTATGATTAATAAAATAACATTCTGGTTTATACCTAAGTCTTTTGACAGTTCAGGTACCATGAATTAAATCAGAGGCTGCTGAAACCCAACCCACAGACTGAGTGACCCTTTGTCCTAATACAGCCATTCTAATAGCCAGACGCCATCTCCACCTCTTCTAACAATTAGAAAGTAGCTAATGCTATGGTGGTAGTCATTTCACAATACATAAGTGTAACAAATCAACATGTTGTACACCTTAACCCTTTGGGTACCTTAAAGTAGGCAGTGTTATATGTCATTATGTCTCAACAAAGCAGGGGGTGGAGGATTAAAAAGTTAGACAAGGGCTGACTAGAGCCTTAGTTCCTCACCCCCTTTATAACATGTCTAAATAATCAAAGAACTTTTATTATAAAGAAAAGCATATCCCCATCATATTGTAGAGGAAGACTAGCATCCATCTTTATAGTTATAACAGACTTTGACTATCGTAAGCTAGTGGCCTTAAAATTTTTGAAGTGCTAACCAGTAGCTGTTTTAAAAAAAAAATCATTATCACTTCCATTAGTAGTGTTCTTTGGTAAAATATTCTTATGTCAATTCGTAAGTCAGTGGAGGGCACATGCTGTCAGTGTTCCCTGTCAGACAGATTTGGAAGCTGTGCCATACAACGTGGGGGGTTTTTTTTTGGTCAAGAAATATCAAAAATAACATCTGCCCTTCAATACTCAGGCCTGGCAAATGGCAAGGAGCTCTGAAAATGCACCTCTCCATAAAAACAGTGAAAAAGTTGGCCCAAATGATCAGAATGTCCTTTTTCAGAGTTGGAATGTAAGCAAAGGTTTGCAGCAATTCAGAAAACATATACTCAAGAACAACAGCGGAATCTCAGTAAGAACAAGCTGTGTGGCATATTAGCTTATCCTGTGTCTCCCATTCCTCACTCCCTAGCTCACTGGTAACCTTGCAAATTTACCGCCCACATTCT